GCAACATAGCATTTTCTGAGGGCAATGCAAAATCTAACTAGCAACTTAGGAGAGATGCCTCTCTAGAAATATTTCTGTTCTCATCTTCTCCCCTGGTTCTATGATTCCTTAGCAACAAAATGCTTCACAGAAAAAGATTCCAATTTCCAGTCAATTTCTCTCTTGTAATTACAGTGTCAATGCAACACAATTTAATTTCTTTTATCTTTTTTTTTTGTATCAAAAGCCACTGATGGCACCTTTAAATCAATAGAAGCACACAATGTATAGACAGGTACATGTAGTTATATTCCAGTCAAGGGGAAAACCAACCAGGACGATTTGTTTCCTTTTCAACAAAATTATGTCTGAGATTTAGATCTTTTTCCATTTTATGTCCAAAATGCTAAAAACATTGACCTCTGATGAAAAAAAAATAACAAAGTTATTACTGGTTAAATTTCACATATTACTGAAAAAAAAAAAAAGATGACAAATGCTACCTAACATAAACCTATACTAAAAGGCTTAATTAGCTATTGATCCATATACAATTGAAGATGTCCATGATCCCTTGCTGCATAACTCTGGATTCATAATGTAAATGGTTCTAGCCAGACTTATTATTAAAAGCAATAAGGCGAAACGGGGAAATCGACTTGCATGTTTTAGTGAAATTCCCTCCTTTTATCAACTACTGAAAAATTAAATGAATATAGTCACTTAGCAAAATTCACAATGGTTATCTTGTGAAAAGGCACTCGTCTCACAGAATGCCGTGAACTCTTTTAAGGTAGTGGGTTTCAAATTCAACCAAAGGAATACTCCATATGTTTTACAGCTTAGATGTGTAGCATGAATGAAATATATGATACAGCTTACTAAATTCAACAAGGCCATACAGTATTCTGAATGAGATATTTGATACCTTACCAAATTTAGTCAAACCATTAAATTCTGCTTCTGAAATGCTTAAAATTAAAGGCCTGAAGTAAATGACTTTCACACGTCTATGTATGGAAAAACTTATCCAGGTCTGTTCCATTAAGTTTTAAACTAATTGTCCTTGTTTTCTTTTTTACTGTACAGCAAAGCTTTTAAAAACACAAATTCATATCTAATTGCTGTAAGGATCATAGAACCAAGAAGAGATCAGATTACCAAAATAAATAAATAAATTAATAAAGAAAGAAATAACACTTACATGAACTTTGTGATAACTGTGATGAGCTAAGGCCCAGGTGTCTGACTGTGGGGGAGAGAGGCATGCTCCCGCGCCTTTTTTGTCGGACATCCTCAGACAGGGTGCGTTGCAAAAGCCTGCGTGGAATGATGGAGGCTGACAAATCATCCAATGGCTTGCGAGGAGAGTTGGATGGAGAAGGTGATCTGGGTCCGTAGTCAGACTGAAGAACAAACAAATGCGATGCACTGTCATTTACACAATCATAATTCAATGTTAGTGCAATGCACCCATCGATGTCCCGACATCAAAGATATAAGGGCATTGTGCAATAACAACACTGTCTGCTTGTTTAAACTTGCCCTGTTCACATCATGAGTATTCTTGATTAGAAGTTGGTCTCTCTTGCCTCATCAGAACACTGGATAATGGAAATAGAGCAACAACAGTGTCTTGGCAATCTGGTTGCTTGGTGACATGCTTTGAGTCAATAATCTAAGTATGTTCTTATGTATATGCCGACGCACTACCAAATGACATGGGATTTTGGATAAAAATACACTAATGACTTTGAGAATGCCTACAAAAAACATTCTCAAAATATCATCTCAAGAGAGGTTCTACGTGCAAAAGATCTGTTTGGCTGAAGTCATTTTTCTGGTTCAGTTGCATCTCACAAAATGTATGGGACATACTGAAGGACCTGTTTCCACTGAAACTGACTTTTACAATTAAAAAGAAAAAAATACAACCCATGCCTTGGCTCAAAATTAAATCATACCTTATCAAAGAAAATTTGTGCCTTCTTTTATTGGTCAATCAAAAACGTTTGTGCTATGGAATCAAGTGGTCATAAATGTTAAAATCAATGTGAACTAATTGATTTATTTGCGATTAAACAATAAATTAAAAGAATGACAACTCAATTAACCAGTTAATGTACTATATGAATTCATTAAAATCAGGACAGGAAGAAATATTACCTTTTCCTATTAGACCATTTATCATACGTAATACTATTGCAATTCTTTCACATTTATCAGAGACAATTGTTTATCAAAATCCTAAATTGGGATTTTCTTTGGTCGATTCTGAAGCATAAATGGCTAAGCTACTGAAGAGTTATTACAAAAATGTATCTTATGATGTGTGTTCTTATGATGTGTTGTCATTTATCAAACAAGAAATATACAGACCAATACCTAAGTGAATCACTCCAGAATTTATGTGTAAAATTAACATCAATTTAAACATAATTATATAATCCTGTCAAACAAAAGGCATGAAATTCAAACACAAAATGAGACCGCAAATTAGGTTAGAATATTGAAGGGATCTTTTATCCTTCTCCAGTTATCAAAATAGAAAGGTTGTGAAACTTGTGATCAAAGAGAAACAAAATAGCTTTATAATAATCTTTTTAAGCATTTTTATATCAATATCCCACATATGACTTAGCAAGTTCAAAGCAAAACAATCATTTCTGTGGATATTGCTAAATCAAGATTATAATACAAGCTAAAAATCACAATAACAAAATAACATCTGAAAGAAAAAAAGAATCTGCTTATAGGTTCATCTTCAGACTTGTCTGGTTATTCCTGCACGTAACTATTAAATGTATGAAACAAAAAAAGGATGATCTTCATTTTAAGTCATTACCACTAAAAATAACATTTACAGATTCTGCTTTGACTTCAACTCTCACATCATCAACACGAACAGCCTACAGCTTTCACTAGCTTGGTTAATTCAACCGTAATACCACCCAAAACAACAAAAAGACTATCGCATGTCTGCACATTATACTAAACACCTACAGACTGACTTTCAACTTCAATCATCCATAAACACAGTTCTTACTCTTGCTAATTTGAAAAGAATGCCATAGATTTTTACCAATATGATGGTCGTGTGATATCAACATCATTATAAAACCTTTCAATAACACCAGAAGAGATAACTATTGACGTTGTAAGTCAATAAAAAACATTTAAATGTGTGCAAATAGAAAAGGAAAAGAATTGACTATTTTACTGCTTCAGTAAATAATACCCCCATTTCTAAAAGGGAAGAATACATCTTTGGTTTCTGCATTGCCATGTGACAGTTCAATGGGAATTTGAAATGCTTCTTGTTGCTTTATGGATCCATGAACTCTATCTACAAAATATTCTTTCTTTCTCCATTAGCAAGTATGCTCAATAACAGACACGCTCATAAACAATATTTCTCCTTGCTTTTGATACCAGATAATTGGTGGAATCATTTACTCTGACTTCGTTCCATCATCTTTTTATCGGACACAATCTTTAACAAAAGCGTTTACAGTGAGCAGTCTATGAATATTCATGAAATATGCATTGATGTGTGACTGCTCACAATTATAACTAATCACAACATTTTGACATTAGGGCCATTCACACCAGTAATTTTAAATTGGTTAATGCCTGACTGTAGTCCTATTGTGGTTTACTTTTCTAATGTGAACAGTCTACGTACAGTTAACTCTAAATGGCAGTCTAAACCAGATCTTTACATTTGGGATGCATGCTCACAAGTGGGCAATTTATCATATTTTTCTTACAGAAATATGTCTTTTATGAGTAAATTAAAACATTTATACGGCATAAAAATCATCGCTACTTGTACTCCTGCCATATTGTTATATCATCACTTTTTACTGAGAATAATAGTGCACATTTAACAGGAAGTACAATTGACAAGAGGCAATTGCTGCCCTAAGCAGTATGAATGCAAGCAAAGTGGGTTTCTTTGACTGCGGTACTACCAGGATTTACTGGAGAAGCGGTTTTCTTGCTAGTGTGAATGGCCCTATTTTTACATTGCATTGATTATTGATAGTATTAGTACTAAAACCAAGGTGCTTATCATGTGGTTGCTGATTATATATCATGAAACAGATATACTAAGAATTATATCATTCTAATTTTAAAAAATCATAATTTCATGATTAGAATAAAAAAAACCTTACCAATCTTCGCCTTGAATATTCCATATTGTAGTGAGTCAGTATGTAGACAAAAATGATCACATAAATATCATTCTCCTTTCTCAGGGTATTCGGAAATCAGCTGTGTCTATTCATGAATTGAGAGGGCAACTGCCCATTTCTGTCTGCCATGTCAAACGGTTTCTAAACACTTGTTGACTGTCTGCTGGCATCCATATATAAATTGTATTAGTGTAATATCCATCAACATGTTCTTGTTTTTCATTCTTTAGTGATGGATTATATGGAAATTCTGAGGTGATGGCCTTTTTTATCATCACCAGGCAGCTAATTGTCTGCAATTATTCTCAGGTGCACCAGGAAACAGTGCTCCTAACTGTTAATAATTCCCTGTTTTGGAAATAAATGACGCTGCCACCTGTGGAACATGCAAAGCCATCAGACTTCCAAGTGAAGTATTGGAACAAGTCCATAAGCTTGCATTTTGAAATTAAAATTTTGATGCATTTTGTTATTCATTGTTGTCTGCAACAATTGATGCATCAAATGTACCTAAAATTGCCCATAACTTAGAAGTAACATTAAATCCAGCATATTTCCTCTTCAGACCAAATAAAATATTTTCTTTTCCATTTTAGCTTCTAGGCTGACGCTGTTACATGTTTCTCCCAGGCATCAACCACCTCTTCTCACCAATTTACAGCTTTTATGAAGCAAAAAAAACCAATTATGATTGGAAACAGATAGAGATATGCTATGAGATTGAACCAATTAAATTTCTTTCGAGGCAAAAAAAGTTTCCATAGAAACCATAGGTGTCAGCAAAACACACCACCTATAAATAGGGGTGNCATTGCATGTGAACGAAGCCTAAGAGTATCTCACCACAACCATGAAAGCATCAACAAGAAATACACTGAGACCAGAAGGCACTGTAAAGCCCCCTGTCACACTTATTTGGAATCTGAAGTAATCAAGCAGAATGAGCCATAATGAAGAATTTTCAAAATTCGCGCCACATTCGTTGGGTAATATCAAATTGACCTTAATTCCAGCAAGAATACCTCAGAATGCGCTTCGAACCCACCTGGAATGATTCGGGCACATTTCGGTTGTATTGTATTAGCTCTCAAATGCAGCTCGAATATAGTTGGAACACATTAAGAATATCGTTAATGCTAATGCTGTTCACCCTAAATATAGTGAGAATATTTAGAATGCACTTCAAATGCCATACAAGTGTGGTTTCATTGTTGGCTGAATCCCGGCCTGCAATCAAGATGCATTCGAGTTGCATTCCTGCTCATTGGAGGTACAATGTGCAACATTCTGACAAGATTTGAAGCGCCTTGCCATTTCCGTTCTCCCTCGAATGTGATCAAAATGTTTCGAATGCTGTTGGAATTTCGTAACATTTTGATCATGCGCTCATAGTGCAGTTAGAATACACTTGAATGCCATTCGATATTTTTCCACTTGGAATGCATTTCGAAAGTTTTGAGAATGAGCAAAACATTTTAACAGGACGCAAGAATGGACCCAAACATTTAGAATGCACTTAGAATTTTTAGATACTTCAAATATCCAGGAACAAACAAGAAATTTTCATTCCGACTACATTCTAGCTCATTCCGCCTCTAGTGTGACTAGGTTATAAATGAAGACAATAAGGATATTGTCACCGTTCACCCAAAACTCCTTATTTACTGCCTTACATACATTCTTTTCGGTGATAAATAAATTTTCAATGTTCAGTGATTACATTAATTAACATTTACACATGTCATCTTTCGGGTGACGGTATAATTGCAGTTTGGGGGTAAAAACTGAAAAATCGGTTTCTCAAATGTCTGTTTTACCTGAACACCCGTGATCACCATTTCAAAGCCAATTTAATGACACCATTTAGTACCCCAAAACCTTGCCAGCGATTTTTTTAAAGCCTTAGTTCAGATTTGATCGTTGATAAAGCAAAATAATACCTTTGTTTTTAGAAGATCTGTCATTACGGACTCATAACTCCATAACAAAAGCATTTAAACCATCACGTTGGCATGGGATTGTAGCTCATGCCCTTGTGGTCCATTGGCCAATCCTTGTGATAAAATCTTGTTCAGGGATGAAGTTAAGCCCCATATGCATTGCTAACTAATCTCAAAAAAGAAAGCTGTTAAATAGATGATTAAAGCTTTGAGTTGCTTATGCTTATACATTGCAACGAAAAAATATAAACGCCATTATTTCATATTTTCAAGAGTCTTTTCATTGTTTCAAAGCAGCACTAAGACAGATACATTATTGAATAATTAGATGCAGGAAAAAATTCATTTTCGGTATCTGGATGGTAATAAAGAGTAACAATATCCTTAATGCTCTGCTACTGAGTGTTCTACTGTAAATATTCCCATATGTAACTAACATTATGCTATTCTATATGTCAAAACTTTTCAGTTTCATGTGATCCTTGAACAATACTGACCATATTTGTTGTATTATTGTTTTTCCTAATTTAAAAGCCACAGTTGCATATAAACATTTGTATTTATGTACACAGAAATGGTGATTTTGGGGTGATTTTTACCTCAAAATGACCAAAAAATCCTCTTTTTCACCCAAAATGAAGAGACCCAACCAAAATGATGTATCTATTTGCGCTCATTGATCATGAAATCATATGGTTAGACATATAAAAAGCCATGTTTGAACTGATATTTAAAGATTTACATGAGAAATATGTGATTTGAGGGAGCGTTTGGTGGCCATTTTGAAAAATCACCTGATACCAATATCAGATGTAATTTAAAATGAAAATACTTATTAGATTTGTATTCAGCAGCCAAAATGGCCATAGAATCCACTTGTCTGAAATTAAATTTCCCAAAAAAGCTTTCATTTGCCCACCCCTACTATAAATATTCCTTGTTGATCTCAATCCAATGGCCAATGTCTTATGCTGACATGACTGACGTCCCTTTAAACCTGGCTACAAACCAACTCAAGGTTCCAGGCAAAGTTCCTTGCCAATCTGCTGACATTTCTGCAGCTAGCCCACTTCCTAGAACATCCTGCTGAAGTCTGCAAGCGCATTTTGTATGAGACAGAATGTTTTCTGATGGACCAATTTAATCACTGCTAGATCTCCTGGAATAATCGAATACACAAAGTGCAATTTTTTTTCCAAGCTTGGCTGCGCAATGGCAGAGATACCCTAGAATCTGAAAAGCCAGTTCTAAACTCACCACCCAAGAGTGTATATATCTAAGTAAACTTGGAACATATAACCAGTACAGTATAGATATCTACACACATGCACATAAACAATCAGTATAACCATCAGCAGTCCATCGCCTTCAAACCTCGGAGGCATTCCTACATCTTACTCTGCAGTTTGTTCTGCAAATGTGATTAGTCTGAGTATTGCGTTCATCTGAACTTGGTTTGAAATATATAGAGCAAAGACCATTGTTCTTTAACCTGAGGGTTTCATAGCACATCAGCCCTTCTGAATTCACAGAACTGCTCAGTAACAGATGAAACTTTGGGGCAGAAGCCTGTGTAACATTCTGCCATGTTAAGTCTGTCCTGCTTCATGAATCTGTAAACCAGAAGCCAATAACTTTCACCATGGCTTCCTTTACCCTTTTCCAGTGAACCATGTGCTCTGATATATCCATCCAATCCAGCTGTTATCTTTTCTGGTCCTTTCATCATAATTGCCTTTTAAATAATAACTGGATATACACAGACAGTAGCCATGATGTCATAGGGTGAATCATCTGGTGAGTATACAAAGAAAAGTCCAGTCATAGGTTTCCAGACAAACAATGAAACACAGAAACAGTCTGACTGTCTGTGCCAGTTTAGCTGGTGTTTCCAATTTCTACTCAACTTGCACCAAATGCCAGTCCACCTGGCTTTGTTTCCCATGAAATGGTAACAATTACCTCTGAAATGACCCTGTTTTATACATATATAACATAAAAGCTGTTGGTTCAGCTCAGCCTAGCTCAGCTTAAAAGACATACTCTGGCTCTGCGGCTACAAAACTGCTATTTCCTGCCACATGTTGTTGTTTCAATAGCGAGTTGCCATAGACATTATGTTCTTTAACCAGTGCAACTGATTCTGCATTCATCATGCTGAATGCTTCCTCCCCAAGCAACACAGGCAGCTGAAGTCTAGGAACTTGTCTGCTGGATAGCAATAATTGGACGACATTGACCACAGTACAATACATGTAGCTACGCCATCCTATCAACAGCTAACTGACTGGACAAAGGACACGTCAAGTGCCTGCTATACTGATTCAATATTTTCTGAGGACTTGATCTTAAAGAAAGACAGAGTAGGTCTCACATACAGCAAAAAAAAACTAATTATAATGGATGCTATGTTTGGGAGATCATTCAGCTATTGATCATGACAAATATTACCTAATTACAATGCCATGGCACCATTAATCTGTCAATGTTAGGTCATTCAGATTGTCTTAATAGCAAATTGTTTCACGCAGCAGTGGTAATTTTTGCCATTTTTGTATCAATGTAAATATCATTATACAAGAACCACAGAAAATACTGCAGAAATATCACCAGTTGCATGGTGTTGGTTTCATGATCAATAAAAAGCTTAAGTCAGACGTTACAGCAAAATTGCACCTTTTTTCCTGCATATTAAGACATCAAAAAGGTCAAAAAGAATTACCAATAGCTTTCCCTAATATACAACCAATTATTTCAGCTATTATTACAGCTATCATTTTAATACAAAGCTTTTATCACCAGATCATCATAAGGCTAGAAGACCAGCTCTGTTTGCAACCCCCCCCCACCCCTGTCCCCAATAAATCATGTGATACCAGTACATGACAATTAATATTGTAAGAGGTAGATGATTGAAGACAGACAATAAGATTTCTAAAAACTATGTCTGAGGTTTCCAGTTTTTCTAACATTAAACTGACATTAAGAGAACAGTTGAACCAAAACTCCAAACAAGTTTTCAAGTAAAATATCCATACTACATCCAATTCCAAAGCTGAGAGATATTTGCTTCAAATTTTCAATGACAGGAACTGATGGACTGCAAGAGATAATGGGGAAATCATGCAAATGCAACCAAATTTGGAACCAGTACATTACCCATTCTCCAGGGGGCGTCTTTTAACAAAAAAAAAGTACTAGTACTAGGAAACACTTGACATATATTGCAGGATTAACTGAGTGACTTCAGGCCCATTATCAGCACAATGCAACAATTAGACTTAATGAACATTATTTCAGCAGGACACATGATTGTGATTTCTAACCATAGCCATCCAATAATCTCTCACTAGTCACTTGAATAGCCACGAGATGGGGATGGTGAAAATTTGGATCACGTCTTTTGCAGACATAGTATGTGGAAAGACGTCACAACTTTACTAGAAATAGAACCACAGTAGAAGACAATGATTAGTTTTCCACTTAACTCATCAATTTCTTCTCGAATGTTCACAGTGTTGTTTATTCAAAATGTTATTTTTCATTACAGACTATCATTTTCATTAATAAACATAACTTTGAGAACATAGTGACTAAATGTCTTTAAAATGTCCTTAGAACATGCTTAAGAGCAAGTAAATATCTTTAATAAAATTATCAACTGTAATGTAGACATCAATCAAAATGTTTTTAGCTCTGAGTAGCTGACACAACAATACAGAGAAAATTGTTTGATTATTTCTACCAATTATACATAGGGTAAATGTTACTTTAATTGGAAAAGTCATTCATTTTATACATACCTGTAGATTGATTTAAGACAAAAAAAGAGCTCTAATAATCTTTATTTTTGCTCTAATAAAACATCTGTATGGGATGAGAGTTATGACCCAACTTTGTGATAGAAGTGGTTTCCTGAATGTGTTAGATGAGACAAACACATTTCACGATGTCAACATAATTCAGCAAAATCAAAATTTTTCAATTCTTTGCTGTCTGAAGATCCTACAAGTATCTGGACTTCAGGGTCACTGAATTACTAACAAACACACACATACATGCACAATAACAAGGAAAATTTGTGCTGAAGGTTTGTAGCATTTTGAGCATAAAGGCTAATACATTTTGAACAATAAATGATATATCAATACAACTTATCTGCTTCCCACAAAGTACTTTTGTAGGACATGAATGCTGTTATAACTCTGAACTGTTCAGTAAGTTAATTTCTGGAATCTTTGAAGTTCTCTATGATGCCAATTGACAAAACTGCTGGAATTAAACTTATCTTAAAAATGACTTTACACTTTAGATAATGCCATCTGCTTTATCAGCCAAAGGGAAAAAATGCTCTCCAGGCTTAGTCAAGGGGTGAGGCAGTCTCAAAGACCCCATTCAGGTACACACATTGACTAGTTGGGTCATTGGAAACAGCCTTATTGTCTGACATGCCTCCTCCAGCAGCTAGCTAGGGGGTAATTAAACTGAACTCAAACGAACGTTAATTGTCGAGTAGCTGCTTGAGGAGGTGTGTCATTCAGTTAAACCAATTGCACTTATCGAGAGCCCCTGCAGAATTGGACTGACCCAACTAGTACGTTATATCTATCTGAATGCTCCCAAAGTCTCACATTTTCTTCAGATTCTTATTATACAATGGCTGTTCTATCAAACAGTTTATGACCACAGCTATAAGAAAAATACCCAATTTGGAACAGGAATGACTGAACTTTTTATCCAGCGCTAGAGAACTGGCTAGCAAACCTATCTTATCAGCAACCATCATTTTGCTGCTGTATTGCAAACATTAATAAAAAAAAAGCCAATTTAGCTGAGCTGCATAAAACATCTAATGGAAAACAACTGTTTCAGTATTTAGGTAAGTGCCAGTAATTGGAGATTTTGGTTCATAATCTGGTAGATATTGGCTATAAAAAAGCACTATTAATATCCATGGCTTTAAAATGACAAGGGCAGATAGAATAGCATGCACATCTCCATTTGATCCAAAATTGTAATAAAAGCAGATGCAACAAAATGGAAGTTAGTATTTGATAAATAGTATACTACCTTTGTGTCCAGACAATTAGCAGAGTTTGGAGGTGTAATCCTGACTCGTAGAGTCGTGCCTCGTCTTCGTACGATAACAGGAGCATCTTCTTCATAAATGATGGGAGTTCTATTGCTTGGCAGGTCACTGATTGTGAAACTTCTGCTGTGGGGTCTAAAAACTGTTTCATTACAATTAACTGGACACAGATGGGGTCTTGAAGTATTGCCGTCTCCATTTACTTCAGTTGCGATTCCCTTTTTGTCCTTTCTTGCTAGTGCTAAGATACTAGAGGAAAGAAGTCTTCCTTGTGGTTCATTTTGATTTTTTTCTGAAGCGGTCAATTGTGGTTGACCCTTGTCTGCGTCTCTGTCCTGAAGGTGACCTACAGGACAATCACAGCCCCGTCTTCCAACTGTTGGTTTATACTGTTCATCGTCCCTCACATAATTCTGTGTCACTTCAGTTTTGTGTTCTTTATCCTGTGTGACTTCAGTTTTATTTCCAATGTTATTATCAACCTGCAGCTGTAAAGTGTCTTTTTCTTTTCTTTCAGATTCCTCTTTAGACTTTGCCTGTTTTTCAACCTTAACATCCAGCGATGAAGTATAATTCTTTACGTCTTTAGAATTAGATTTGATTTCACAAAAGGAGGTGAAGACACCTTTCTTTGAATCTTGTTTAACAGCTGCCTTCTCATCTTTTACAAATGAGCCACTGGTAGGTGTCCCCGTATCTACCAAGGAACTCTTTTTCCCATCCACTTTAGGAGTTCCTTTCTTTTTCATGGTTTTCTTACTCACAAAAAGCTGTCCTTTGTCTGCCATGGTTCATAACAGAAGCAAGTTCTTATTTCATCACAAAATTTACATCTATGTCTTCTGTCCTCTCTAATCTCTTTCCTGGCTTGCACTGCTCTGACAAATTCAACATATGCCAAATTAAAACTCTATGACCAATAACTTATGGAAAACTTGTGCAGAAGGATCATCACCAGTGGGTGGCATCACAAGTCAATTACTTATAAAATCCAAAGATGCGCAAGCTCTTCAGTGGAGATTAAAGCTCAATTTACATTGTCTCTACTAAACAAACTGCTGTCGATAGTATGGTCTTTCTGCTCAGTTCTTTAAATTTCATCGAGGCACTTCTCTTCAAATCATTTTTTTTCCCACTCAACAAAAGTTTCCATTGATTTTACCATTGATGCATTTTTACATTGAAGACATCAAATCCATTTGTAACTTTGTATTATCCCTGATAATGAACGTCTCCAACATTCAAAATCACCAAGAACTGTATTCAAACCAGTTCCACTCCAGTGGAACCCAATTAAGCAGCTCTAGCAAATTTCTAGTAATTTATGGTTTTTCATGCTATTTTTCGGACAAACTTCATTCACTCTCAAGGAAATGCCACCATTACCTAGAGTGTCGAGTGCAGAGCCATCAATTTCTGTGCTATGCAAGGCAAAGCACTACACTTACTCTTCAGTACAAAACTACCCAAAGGCTTGCACTTTTCTATTGATCTATCAATCATAGATAACATCCTAGCAATGTTAAATTGATGAAATATCTACTGTTACATTTTCCAAAATAATGCCTACTACAGATATTCTGAAAGTACCAAGGCTCCTTTCCACTATTCTCTTTAAATCATAATTCATAACTTCAGCTGGAAAATGAAACTAGCCAGATGTCTGACGTCAGCCCTTAACATCATCAACACTAAACAAAAGCAATGAGCTTTAAGTCTTCCTATTTTTACAAAAAGTCTGAAAGAATTGCCTTGAAAAGTAAAACGTGATCAAACAATCCTCCAAATATAAGAATCCACACATTTCCTGTTCCTTTTCTCATACAATAGTTTTTTTTTCTAGGTAATGCACACTCCTCTACAAAGTTCATATTTCTTGTGGTCAACCATTCATACGTCAGTAGACTTCTGAAAATGTAGCAATATGTTCACTCTTCGTCAATTCAGAAGTAAAATGCTGTGAATTTATGTATTTGATAACTGGGTGTTATCTTTCAAATTTGCCTAGTATTTCAAACAGCTCCCACCGTGATTCCTCACCAATTGGCTTTGAACCACAAAATCCTCTTCCAATTTGGTAGACTTTCCCTCAAGGAAGAGCATTTTTAATGATTTCTGTTCCTTCAATTGATCTGGCTCAACTCTGTGCTAGGTTTACAAGAACCTGAATGACATTCTTGATGCAGGATGAATTCCAATTTTGCGTGTAATACATCTGTCATTTTTCATTTCTCAGTTTTGCAATCAAAATCTGCTGTACAGGGCTAATCGACTCGGCAGGGTTGAAGACAGAAGGGCAACCAGCAGTCTTATAATGCAAATGTAATCTCTAATCTTAATGATGGCTTAATCTGAATCTGATGAAAATCACACATAGAAAATGATGTCACTATAATGAAATTTACTCTGTAATGAAAATGACTGTTCAGGTTGACCTGCCTCAAGCGAAAAGAAATTGCAAACAGTATCTCATTATTTTGGAGAGAAAAAAAGTGGTCAAACCCTGGCATGTCATTATGGCATCAATAAATATACAGACAATGCAGCCATTAAAATTGCAAAGGCCACCTTGTCTTCATCTATCAATTATAATTCCCAGCATAAATGCATTACTGCTTTCAGTATTGTGTCTAAGTGTGGCATAACACTGCCATGGAGTCAATTAAATTTAGATCAATGCGCCCACAATTCAGTTGTACTTCCAGTCTTTTTTACATCACTTTGTCTTGTTGTTGCCTGGTAAAAACAAATCATTACATCTTTATTTAAAGGCAGGTTTTCCAGAGCAAAGACAACTAATAAATTAAATCACAGGCAGGGATTGAACGATCTCAGTGGTACTTCATCCTGAAACAGATTCCTGTTGTGAAGTTATTTTTCCTGCCTGCATCAGATTCTCTTTGATGCATTCCAAACAATATACTTTCAAAAGATGCCTAATCCATGAGTAGCATCTAGTGAACTTCTTATCCAAGAGATTACATGCTGATAAATGCAATACAACATTGCCTACATTCAAGTCTAGATAGCAAATGATTCCGTTAAATCGACTCCTTCATATAGTAAAGAAAATACTTATGTTCTGTCCAAGAATATTCACCAAATCAATTCTTGTTAATAATTTGAGTTCATATCATTGCAGTGCCCAGGAATCCTTGGTTCAATCCTGTAAATGACCTTATTTTTAAACCCCCTGCCTTTCTCATTACCAGCACCTGATAGGATATAAACTTATCCAGTTTTGACTTCCTTCACCTTTTAGCCAAATAAAACCCAGCATTTCTGACTGGCATAAAGCAGCATGGCCATTGACACAGGCCATAATTGATCCCAGTGAGTAAAGGGTGAGTTAAATTGCCCAATACAGCATGGTCAGCCAATAACTGTAAATGATCCATAATGTTACTCATCCACTCTGGTCACAGTTCCAAAAGTTGTATTAATATTAATGTCAATAGTAATGCATCACTCGTGGCGCAAGTTTCCTCTTCCAGTCTTTGATCCTTCGATAGCAATTATTTATATGAACTGACTTCAATCCGATATATTGGAAATATAAGTATACGTAAATGGCAGAGTTGCCTGGCAGAGACTATCAATGAAGACTTCTCCGAATGCATCAGCCCTGTCCTATTCAAGTGTTTCTTCTCAGCTTCCAAGTTAAATGTTTATCCCAGCTTCCTCTATAAGAGTATGGGGTTGTTAACCTACAGCAAGAACAGCATCAACCATAAGTCAGTTCCACTCCGTTGATCAGCAAACAGTGCTGCAGTTCAGATATCCACTTCTATTAAGGCAAGTAGTTTAAACCAGACAGCAACAGCAACAGCTCACTGGTCCAAGACCTGTTTTTGGATCGAATATATGAGAAACTGAACACATAATACCAAAGTAATGTACTAATTGGAATTCCATCCAAGATTGCTTTGGATAAGTTTTTTTGCCAAGAATCCTTATACGAACACTCCTTCAGACACCTGCCTATGTGCAAGACAACAATTTACCCTAATACTAGGATTACTGAGTCACTCTCTGCACAGCCTCCCCTATCTCTATCTCAGTTCTTTCTTGCTTGGAGGTCATTCAGCAATTAGCCTAAAAATCCCAATGTCAATAAGAAACATGTATTGCTGTACAAATGAACTGAATCATATCGTGCTCATATCTCCAATGCCAGGGCACCATCGTGGTTTACCAAAAAATTTCCTTACTGCTTAATCTTCTAGCCAAGGTCAAGGTAAGCATTAAGCAACACACTGAAAGTCATCTCAGTATCCCTCCTTCTCTTTGACTTCCATATACGTATCACTTACAGACCTTGCCGAGTCCTAGGGTGTTGTTACAGCCTTCATTTGCTTCCCTTATTCATCCACAGTCTGATATTGCATTGTAAAGCAAATGGTGCAAAAGAATAATAACACAACAGCCATAAATAGTTGACTTTGATGGATGTGAACAAAATACTGGAGTAGGAGAGCCCAAGATAATGCACCGATACCAGAGGTCAGCTTGGTTCGATCCTCACAAAAGCAAAAAAAAAGTACTTGCTACCTGTATACAAGCTCTTCTTCTATCTACAATAACATTGTGAATTGGCAGGTGGAGAATGGGGATTTAATTAGAAATCCAACTTACTACAGGTAAACAAGCTATGAATATCTTTTGGAAGGCTTCAACACTGGTGCGATGTTTGCACAGCAAGCTTTTAAAGCCATAACTCAACTGATTTCATGTAATAGGTGGGCCGTATCAACATGCATTATTTCTATACCACATAAAATAAAAGGCTAATTGTCATCAATCACACTGCTCATTAACAAAAAGAAAACAACTAGTAACTATGTTACTGCAGCAAATACCGCATTTCAAATATTTGCAAATAATCTCAACATATAGCTCAATTAGAAACTTTTGACTTCAGCATATCCTTTTTTAAGATACAGGGATAATCCTGAATTCTTATTTGATTTTTATTAAGGTTTTGTAAATGTTTAGCTTACCCAAAAATTTGGGAAATTATTAACATGCCTAGTCTATACCAAATTTGATATATATATATATATGCAGTTATATCTGCTTTTAAAAGTTTCTTATTCAAAATTAAATTTCATCAAATATACAATTTAAAACGAGATTCTTATAACAGTTCATTTAAACTTAAGAGTTAAATCATTTACACCACTGTTTGTGACTATGACTAAAACATCTCAATAGATTGATAAATAGTTCACCACTAGGGGGCGTTTTACCAATACACAGTCTTTAAACAGACTTGATTAGTGTCCGTCTCTCATCTGCTTGCCATCAATAGTAACAAGACAATCCAATCATATATACCACAGTTGTGAGTGCACATATCTACTGGGATGCAATGAACACCACAGGCAGATGTTGGTATAAAGTCATCAACAAGAGTGGGATAAAATGATTGAACTATACTTGAATTGATTGCATCCAGAAAATATTACTATAGCTGTATCATATATCATAACAGATAATACAAAGGGAATCAAAATTATACATTCAAATGTTACAATGGATTTCTAATATGCAAATAAAACTCATAATGAAAATCCTATTCAGACAAACCATAGAAATGTTTAAGAAACATTTAAGCCTTTTAGTGCACTTTTAGTGCATTAGCTATTAACCTGTTACACCTCTGATTTAAAAAATATCGATTTCTGTTTAAGCCTTTGTGATTGGCTTAGTAACTTCAATGTTTATCAGCACTGTGAAACTCAGAATCAAAACGTACTAGTTCTTGACAAATAATGACCATCACACAATCTGGTAATCAAGTTACAGGTGCACATTTTCCAAGACCAGTAAAAATGTTTGACGTCAGATTTTTTTGGTACCAGATCTATTCATCAATTAAGTCTGCTGGCGACTGGTCAAGTTACTTAACAAAGTAACAACCAGTCTGGAATAAATCAACTCTTCTTTTTTTGAGCAAAGGAAAATTGTTTTCAGTGCTATATCTTCACCCTCTGGGTGTTATATCTAAGGCTAATCCTAATAGGAAGTTGTACTTCAGATGATTTTACCTTAATACTCATTACCTAACAATGAAGCTCTCTGTTTGGCTCTCCCATATAATAACATCACCAGCTTATGATCTACCTGCCAACCCTACATTAGCAAATACACGGGTCAAGGGAAACTGGCCCCATATGAACGTGTATGCATTTTGTTACTGTAAAACTGCTGGATACCTCTGGGTCCTTAATCTAAAATCCATACAGATATGTCAAGTTGATTTCCTCTTACCTATTGCATGTGGAAACAGTAACTACATGAACAGGTGAGAAATAATTTGTATCAATAAATTAAAACGATTTTAAGCAGGGAGAGAATGAAGTCCCTTAACATACACATATACATTAACATAATTTGTAATATATAAATGGCAAAAAAATCAATTAATAAGGACTGAGAATCTCCTAGCGTGATCAGATCACTGATATGCCATGTCGAAGCAAGAAAGTTGCAACAACATCCATTATACAAATGGATTTATACAGTTGCCTAGAGTGATAATGCATTAGAAAGGCAAGTGCCAAGAGTTTTGTTTAATCTACAGTGCAGACTGTTTCCTTGACTAAAGGCAAACAAAGTCAGCGAAAATCCAATAGGAAATGACATTTCTACCAACACACACAAAAAATCTCCAACCCACATCTTGCACCAGACCTTATTTTCCGATAAAATACAACAAAGCCACTGCGTGCCAGACCTTAGTTAGTACTTGTGTTATGACACAGCCAGATAATGAAGTATATTCAGCTCGGAGAAACACGTGGGTGACTGAAAATCCCTTCGTTGACCAGTAACCGCAAATCAATTAAATAAGCATGTAAGGAAGTGCACATGCTTTTTATTCAATCAAAGGGAAAGGCAATCGAAAGGTCAAGCTTCATCTTTTACCTTTCTACGATTATGAAGCACATGATCCTAGAGACTGTGGACCATGAGATAAATGAGCTTTTATTTTTTAACCATAAACATAACACCTTGGACCCAGTGTACATATAACAGATCTATCTAAGATTATACTGACTTGAAGGGCCATCATCATCATTATTTTCTTTATCTTTTAATGACACAAAAATTGAGTATGTCATTTATAAGTAAAAAAATTAATTGTTTATAACCAGAAATAGAAAAATTATATTGCAGCAACCGTATAGAAGTAGGCAATGGAAGTCATCTCAAATGGTAACTATCTCTTCCTTGATATTAGATATATACATACAGAGAGTGCTTAATGAACGTGAAAGTTTCCAACTATCTTGGATCCTAGTTCCCAATACCAGATACATATATATCATGACAGAACACAATACAAATTCCAAGTCCAATTAAGACAAATTTTTACAAAAGGCAAATTAATAAACCTTTGAGATGATGATTTTTAATATCTCAAAAGTAAGTTGCAATCAAGATTTTTCTTTTATCTAGGGTAATCCACAAAACAGTCAATAACCCCAATGGCATTAGAGAAACCACGCCGTGCACCTACAAAGCAAATTTTCTCGAACTGAAATGACTACAATAACTGTGCAACATTAATTTTATTATCTTCTCTGTGTGGGATTTTGATTCACAGTACCTGGTCTTGTAATACAGCTCATAGTAACACATAATGGCTTAATATCAGCCCCAGGCAAGCCCCTGTGGATCAGCTTCAGGAACTTGATGCCGGCTTTATTTTTTTAAACTCTTTATAGTAAGCATAATGGGATACGAGAGTTTTGTTGCCAACTCCATGCAACAAACAAGTGAGATATTAATGAATAAATCCCACAGCTTTGTAAGAACGTGTGGCCAATGATAAATCAATTTTACCTCACTAATGTTTGCCATCCATTTGTAACTTATTGTCCTGAAGCAAGGAATTAGAAATTAAAGGAATCAACAATTTGTGTATTCTTTTTTTGATGAATGAGAAATATAAGCAAAATGTGGAATTGATTTTTTTGTCACGACTTGCAAATTCTTGATAACAACTGCAGAATATTTGTACAGCAGTGCTGACTGATATCATATCTTTTACTAGTAAATGAAAATGATCTCATATCAACCACGAACATCAAGACAATTTACTTTCAGCATGACTGAAAATCAAATTTTTCTTCCTATAATCATGCAAATGTCAAATGCAATACATGACAAAGTAATAGAGTTAAGCAGTTCCCTTCACATATTGTGGCTAGATGCATGGCACATTACAAAGACACAATCACCACAATGCTTCTTCCTTAAAAACTGCCAAATCCTTTCTTACATATTCATGTAACTTCTAATTTTTTATCCTGAAATAACAGTAATGGCATATAGCCTAGAAATCTCTCCAACAAAGGTCATCTTTGCCCATTTAAAGGTTATGGCCCATAAGATAAATGTTCACCTAGCAGATGAGACTGAGAGATAGTTGCACGCATTTCCTTCAGATGACTCAGCAACTCAAGGTATTAGACAAAACAACAGGTATGATAACAAAAGAAAAAAAAAACTATGACAAAAAATTAAGTAAACAATATCCATCTAGACTAGAGCAGACTTAACTGGAAAAATAATCCCCCCTCACGCTATACTGCTCTGAGTTGTCAATGGTACTCAACCCAGGTTGACCTACAGAGGTGACATAAACAGAGGGAAAAGGTAAACTGAGGACTTATGTAATATAATAACACACACCTGCATATATCTGACAAACACCAAAGCAAGCAGGTTTAATATGCCACAGTCACATCCAAACTCGTGGCAAAAAAGGGCCAGTGTTCATGAAATGTGTTAGATGTGCCTGGAACTGAATGTAAATACAGCACATGCATGGCATTTGATATACTGGGAAAAGATGGGAGAAAAATCTGCCAGCAAATGATACCATCTAAAACATGATGTCATATGGTAGGATCTGATAAATAAAAAATACAATTATTAAATGATGGAAGATATGCTAGTGCCAGTTTTAACCTTAAGCAGGTAATTCCAATGTAATGATGTCACCTCTTTACATGCCTCATGAAATAGACAAAGTCAACTTGCATATATATCCTAAAGATAAAGACATTTGCCTTCATAAACATGAATCATTTCCCTAATTTCTGAAGCAATCTCATGATACAGAAGTTGCATGCTGAGAGAGGTATGTGGTCCAGGAGTACGCATATATTTAACTTAGATATAACTGATGCATATTAGATGTGAGACTGATAATGACCACATTGAGGAAATTAGGACGTGACCCCTGATGTCCTTTTTTTGTGTGGCCAATCGCCCTACAAATGACCACTTAAATTGCTACCTGCTGATCATAAAAAACCCTGTGACATAGATTTCCTTCTTAAGGGGTTTTTTTTTTTTTTTTAGGTAAAATTGATGAGTTATGAAAACTTTTCAATGAAAAGAAGGACAGAAGACCGTGGACATGTGAATTATACCATGATATCTATGCAATGCATGTCTATAATCTTTATAACAGTGGGAAATAAAAATGCCCTCGCACATGAACAGGGCATCAGATGTAGTTTAATGGCTTATTGGCATGGAAGTAAGGATCCTTAAGGTATGTTGGACAAAAGGCAGACTCCACTGAACTCTTTGATGATGGGCTATAAAACTCCACCTTGGTTGTCAATTTAGTACCTATTAATTAAAGATTAAGACCAAGTCAGGGTTGCCAACATTACAGATCTATCCAAATTCACTTTTCAATTGATAAAAATAATACACCTGAAAGCAAAAGAAATCCATACTAAAATGTGTAAAGAGTCTGATAAAGTTAAATTATATTAGCCTGTTGAATTATACTAGGGAAAAGACAAATTTGATCATCCTTTGTCCATATATTTAGAGAGAGACAGGTTTCGCAATTTTTTCAACCACCTATCAGATTGGACAGATAGGCAACAAAAACATCACCTGTCTGAAGGGCTTGGCATTCCATTGTTGTCAACGCTTGGACCAAGCACAGCGCCTGATCGATCAATTGACATTAACCTTCACTTCATATATTTCAATACAAGAGCAGAAAAGTAAATGTGTCAAAAGTGTTTCTTTGAAAACGTGTTAAAACTAAACAAATTTATCAAATTGTTGGTAATAATTGCTTTTATAAATACATTTTCAAATAATCAAGACCCCATTCCCATACCTAGATCTAACAGGATTGACCCATCTCCGAAGGGATTCTTGTTAAATTGCCTTTATCTTTACTGGCTTAGATGTCTGACAAGCCTACTGAAGCTGCTAAACGAGTTAATTACCCCCTTACAGCTTCAGTAGGCATGCGAGGCATCTAAGCTGCTCAAGTTGAATGCAATTTAGCAAGAAACTCCCAGGAGATGGATCTATCCTGCTAAATCGATCTAGGCATGGGAACAGGGTCTTACATTAAACCAGCCTGACAAAGTAGGGTTCAGGCAAATCAATGCCAAATTGGAAGAAAAAGCCAGATACTCACCTCATTATCGCTCTCTGTGTCCCCTCTGGCCATCCTGACTGCCCTCATTAACAGCTCCCTGGCAGGCACAGATTTCACTTTGTACATCTGCTCCAGTTCCTCGCCATGTAATGTACGGAACTTCATAAGCGACATCTCCACTGGGAAGTGGTGCAGAAACTCTCCCAGTCCATGCCTCCGTAAGAACTCAGTGAAGGAAACATTGCGTTCCCTTCTTGGTGTGTCTTCAACATCCCCTCCTCCGCTGCTGCTGACGTCCATGTCAGCCTCTCCTACGACTATCTGCAACGGTTCTCTAATGCCACCTTCTGTACATTCTGGTTCTGACATGTTTCCTTTTTCTCCCTTGGCTACACAATTCACTGAGCAAAATGTGCTACAACCACAGTGAACTCTCTTGGTAAATGCAGGCCCGATTCATCCCTTTGACTATTTTCCTGGCTTACATTGTCTCTTTAAACCTGAAAAGTGAAAGATAAACATTGAACCTCATATTCAAACATGGAATTAAACAAAATGATGGATACTGTACATGTCTAAATGTCACATTACAGTCTTACTATTTCTTTTTTTTTTCCCTTGCCTTCTTAACAAAACATTGCCCTTCCGATTAATTTATGAAGTCTAAACAAAACACTGTTGCAATGTGGAATTGAATATACTTCATATTGCATCATGTGCAAGTTCCTCATGTACATAAAAATCCATAAAGATTTATATATAAATTATGTAAGAAATAATGCATTTAAAAAATCCAACATGTTCAACAATGCCAATTAAGTCTTATATCACAATATATTAATTCAAGATCAAAACGGGGGAGGGAGGAAACTGATAAAAACCATGATGATCTATTTTCTTCTGCATCAATCATGACCAGACATTGACAGAGAACTTACCATCACCTCCAGAAGATGTCAGACGTTCAACAAATATCAACCAAATACCATAATGTCAAAACAGACTTAATATAAACCTTTAACACAAACAAACCATTGACGGCTGGCCTATAAATAAGACGAAATACCAAAACAGTTTTTCAAGGATGAGACTGCCATAGTGAACAAGTAGGAAAATATGGCGTGGGGGCCAGGGGGCCGCCTAGGCCAATGATATTTTTGGCTCCCAAAAAGCCAGAAATTTGCCGACAGTCAGAAGAATCTCATCCCTGTTTTCTACTAAAAATTTCAAATACACACACACACACACACAAATGCACACAAAGAAAAAAAATGAATATTTATGCTGGATTCATTTTGTTTTATGGACGTATGTGACAGGAAGAGACACAGACATATACATGTATATGCTCATCATATCGATCTGACCTGGTTGTTCTTGCTGTAAACATATCAAATGTATATCTCCAGTTGGTAATCTTTGCATACAACCACCCACTAAACATGTAGTATTCAATCCTCATTCCTATACACTGGTTACCATATGAAGCCATAATCCAATCTAATGACCCATTCATGCGTTTTCTCTTTCTTAATATATTGTTTGCATGTGAAACATATTTTTAACCACTTTTGATCATTTTCTTATGTGTTTGAGAAAGGTGGAGAGGAAGCCGTGTAGTGATGACAGACCTGCAGCCTGCAATTTCAGAGGGGGACTCTTTTTCTGAAAAAGCGGACCTTTTACCATAAAACCTTCGTGTTCTTATATCAGTAAATTTTTATCTAGAGCAGACCTAGAGCAGACAATATACAAATTGTCACTGTACAAAAACTATGAATTTTATTTAGATGTATAATCTGTACCAATATCCAAAGGCATGTTCTTTTGTTTTCAATTTATAATTAGATGACTTCTATTACTCAAATATGGAAAGTGAAAATACAACAAACGTGTGTATAGCCTCTTACTCAGTTCAAGCCACATGAACGAAAGCATGGTCTTAAAATCTAATTTTTACATACTAGAGTATTATTGAATTTTGAAATGGCCAGTTAGTATTTGAAAATTATAGCACCAAAATCTTGTTTCAAGTCCCTTTAAATAGTTAATTATAATGGTTTGATTTGTGATGATCCAAACAAATACTTTGTCATCAGATCCCCGAAGAACAGCCTGTAGCAATAACATTTTACTACAGGTATGTTATATAGAGGCAGTTATTTACACGACCAGGCCCATGCAGCCAGTCTGAGTAAACAGAAGTTTTTATTGTCCATGCAAACAGGGCACTGGACAATTGTAAACCCCTGGTCATACCACACAGTTGTTTACTTGTTAACACACCTTGGCAATTCACCGGTCAATACTGAAACAGAACACCAGTCTTGTGAGATGAAAAATATAATGTTCCACTACCAGCAAATTACTGCCTACCTTATTCACCTAGTAAAGTAATATGGCATGCTTCAAAACAAGGCCATCTACAAACCCTTCTACACAAATACCACCATTCTCAAATTCAAGAGTTGATGAATTAATTAATACACCCATCTTGTTAAATAAGTCAAGTATAAATCCTTGATTAAGTATTACATAAACCATCGATAGACCTATAGTTAATTCTGTTTGACATGAATGAAAACTTATGGTCTTTAATATTAAAAATCAAGTGGCAAATTACACTAGTACTTACCTACCTCTCTCTCTAGGATCACCACTTTTTATTTAAAAATAACTTTTAGTTACTTTTACATGTATAATCAGAAATATCGACCCTGATCAAATGATTTCTTTTGAAGCCAAAAAGGGCCCTGCACTATTGATTATTGAAGCCAAGTAAAAATAAGTTATTACTTCTACCCTGTCTTTTCCTGTTGAGTTAAAGCAAAATTATCAACACAGTTTACTCACGCTCCGGATATTTCTCTCATCCATAACAGAATACTAGGTCCGAGTTGACGTCGACTTTGCGGTTTGGGCTGTGAAGCTGGAGCACCAGCAGGTTTTCGTTTGATTCTGCTTACTTCTTTTTTGATTAAGTAAGCAACAAAAAAAGCTGCATATATACTGTTAAAATATTAATATCGCTTGTACGAAACCTCTTCAGTTAAAAATTGACTCAATGATCCTGAATGATTTCAATATTTGTAGTAAGTCTCACCGCCTTCCATAGCACTGCAAGGCGCGCATGTGCGGAAGCCTATTTTAAAAACTGGGTTAAACCAGGAAATTTCATGTTATTGACTCATGCTGTGCAGTATTTTATGAGATATCCACCCGGCTTATTAGAACAAAGAAGAAAAACGTATTTTATCATGTTCTTGGTGAGATAGCATATGCGTAATAATTAAGAAGATATTGTATTGATAAATTGACTGAAAATTACATGAGCGCATCTACCACAATTTTCTTGCATACTGCCGAGGCATTTCGTTCTACAACAGTCAATACCTAGGTTTTCTTTATGCGGCTTTTATGAATTAAAAAAAAAAAAGAGCATGTAAAACATTTCTTAAATTATCAGCAACCAATTTCATCTGTTTATTCTGGCCAATTTTATGTCAGACAATTTTTGTAACTACTCTTCCAAATGACGCTGAACTCGCTCAAAATGCTTCCACACCAATACTGCTGTACGCACTGATAACTGGCATACAAAATACAAAGGTATTCTGTCCGCATTTGAAAGTGAGCAAAATACCAAGGTATTCTGTCCGCATTTGAAAGTGTCTCAAAGTCACATTTTTTTTTTTTTTTTTTTGGTCTATATAGAGACGAGATAAAATTCAGTAGAAATTTGTCTGACACTCAAAGCCAATGTTCTATTTGGCGACTTCTTAGAAATTTTGATGGCAAGTAGCTTTCATTCCATTTTTTTTTTTTGCCCAAAGATGTGATCAATATTATGAAAAAAAAAACAACAGGCATATTTACAAATATTTTAGCCTTTATTGTAATGACAACCTGCAATCTGTGTCAGCATGTTAATTATTAAATGAGATACTCCAACAAGCACCAACAGCTAAAACTGCTGTGAAAGCAGGTTAATACCACATAATGATACCCTTTACTTATTCATCTTGTCAGCATTCTGTTCTCAGCTCCTACTGTAAAAAAAACCCATTCCTACATAAAGGTAGCAAGAAGACAACTAATGAGCAACATATTCTAATAGCACTGGGACAGATGTTCTAGACCAAGACAGTAAACAATTTACAATAAGGCACATAATAAAAATGTTTAAACTGCAAGAATTACACATTGCTTACATTGTTACTACTGTTGGAGTAATCATGTGAAATGTGCTGTTTTGTTGAAAGCATACACAGTTACAAGCACAATTTAATAAAATATACACATCTTTTCGTACCACTATAATTTAATCTAAAAGCAGGGCTTAACCCACTTGTGTAGTGTAAGAATGGATCCAAAATGTTCTTTGGAAGCCCTTCTACAAAACAAAGCCCAAGTTAATTTACTAATATTTCAGAAAAGAATAGTTAAGTCTTTCTTCAATGGACATATACGCAGTGTCATCTTCATCAATTCTAATCCATAATGAAAAAAATTAGGTAATATGGCGTGATTTAAGAACATTCAACTGCCTTTTGTCACTACAGAAACAGAATCTTCATCAATCAAAGTAGTCTTTGGAAAAGGAAACAATTCAGTTAACCTTTCTTTTAAAGGTGAATAATAAAACCACTTCACAGGACAACTATTAAAGCAAGTGACAGTATACTGCATAGGATATATACCTGTCAATGACACTAATACAATAGAACACCTACAAGCAACGAAAGGTAATACATAAAACTGCCTTTCTTCCTTGATATAGAGACAATTCCCCAATCTTTTTTTGACATAACCCAATGAGAACAGAATCTTTCTAATAAATATGTGAATGAAGTCATGCCAGTACAGGTCTAGAGTAATTACATAAATGGTGATACAATGTTATTTAGACAAAGTGTAATTAATAATAACTTTAGTAAATACATGACAATGTTTCTGCAGATTGTGCAACTTTTTGTAAATACGAGTGTTAAAGACAGGCTTATGCTTGGTACTACACACTATATTTATTTCATTTGACTCTTTCAAGGAAGGCAAGAAGTTAAAAACACCCTTTCATTAAAGGCTTTAAGAAATGTTTTGACAATACATGAAATAATATCAAAGCCTAAAATGTACACTTTGGTGAAAGTTTGACAGTAGACAGCAGTTTACAAATATGCACTGCACTATTTACAAGATAATGTGACAATGCCTGTACACAGAAATAAGTATCAGAGTCACCAGATGCCTCAGTGTCATTTGCACAGTATAAATCACTTGACAGATTGACATTCTGCTTATTTTTAATCTGGTTCCATTTTTCTAGTAAACTTCCACAAACTACAGACTTGCTCTTTGAACAAACTGATTTTTTTTTTTTTTTGCATTTGCATAAATTGAAAATCTATAGAAAGAGAAATTCATCCTGGATTTCAATTTAGGTTTAACAAATGAAGAACAGTAAAAATATAGGCTCTGGACTGTGCTCTGAATATCTGCTACAGCTGGGAATCACAACATTCATACCTCTATTATATATGTTAAATTTGAATATTCCACCCAGCAATATATTCCAATATGTTCTATGGATAAGCGTCATTATTATCTGCCATTTTATCTTTGCACACATCCACATAAAATCAATCTTTCTTATGTATTTTTCCTGTTGAAACAAGACTCTTGTTTATAATTTCAGGCTTGGTTTAAAAGGACCAGATTCAATAACTGTCTTTTTTATAAATAACAAGCAACAACTGGATAAAAAAAAATTACCAGATACAGTGTTCAGTTTTTTTATAAATAACTTCTCATACCACATTATCCTTTTTGCACTGGGTCTGCAAACTTAAAAACACTGTCGATGAAGACTTAGGAACGTGGTTTGTATGGTCTATGTTTATCCATGCACTGGAAAGGTCAGTGAAACACTTTGCAGCAAACACTGTTGTCAGTTTCTAAACAAGAGCCAGTGCTCTTAACTGATAAAATCATGATGAATCATTCAATAACCAGATAATAAAGGTGCTCTGTACAGTCCAGTAGTTGAAGGTAAAATGTTCAGGGTCACTACTTTGAGCAACAGGATCCCTTGTTTTGGTCTCTCTGTGACGTTATGTCCACACCTCCACCTTGAGAATCCCGACTGGGAGTCTGAGAATACAACCATTATACAGGTTAATACATCTTTATTTGCCTAGGACTCATAATGACCTAAGACTATAGGAATATTAAATATACATTTATCATGAACAGAGCTAAACTAGTAACAAGGTGATTGCCATTTGCAAAGCTATCACATGAACAGATTATTCAAAATTATCTTACAAATAAATCTAAAAGATCATTGTTTACCTTGTCAAGAATTGCCTGGGCCAGATCCATGAATGCCTTTTCTACATTGATGTTGGACTTTGCACTTGTTTCTAAGAATGGAATACAATGTTCTCTGGCGATCTGTAATGATGAAATTTAATCTAAAAGAACAGCTGCAGAAAAAAAAACGTGCTGCAAAAATAAGCCAAAATTTCACTAGCCTGGCAACAGAAAAAATCAATGCATCCTATGATTTTATTTACAGATATAGGTGTTGTGTGTATGTCACAATATTTGTAAATGGTTGCACAGAATGCCCAACTTACTGCGTCTCCCCTTTCCTTGGGCACCTGTCTCTTGTCATCCATATCACATTTGTTACCCAGAATCATTTTCTCTACATCTTCATTGGCATGCTGAAACAATAAACATGTTAGTAATCAAATTCAAAGGCTCTTTTTTAATCAAAAATTTTCATTGCTTCCCATGCTGATTGGAATTGCGAAAATACTTACACTTCCTTTTCAAGATGTATTATAACAAGTTTTCATTTCAACAATAGATTTTGGACTTACCTCATCAATGTTTCTAAGCCACTTTGAAATATTTTCAAATGTCCTGGCATTGGTAATGTCATAGACTAGCATGATTCCCATGGCACCTCTGTAGTAAGATGTGGTGATTGTGTGGAATCTCTCCTGACCAGCTGTGTCCCTGATATAACACAAGACGTTTATCATATCTGTTGAAAAGTTCATAATATTGTTAAGTGTTTAAAATTATGTGACCGAAAATTTTTAAAGACCAAAAAACCGAGTAATGCATATTTCTGAAAAACTCAATAGTACTTTCATATTAGAACTATTCAAAACTTATCAACCTAAAGTAAAACATCGGCAGATGAGTTTTGGTAATGCTTAAACCATTTATCTTAGTTTTAATAAATGACCATGATATGATATCTTCATCAAAATGAGGGCCACATGAATGCTTAAAGCCACCTAATAAAAATGTGATCTATTTGCTTGTATTTAAAAATGAACATGGATTGTATTAAGTAGCATGTGGTTATATTAACCCCATTTAATCTATTATAGCTCTTAGTTTGCAGCTGAATTAGTTATCTACTTAGATTTTTCTCTAGAGCTTGTCATGATATGAATAATATTATATCAATACTCAATGATAAAGCATGTTGGAGTCATTGTGGAGAAATATGCCATTCCACACTTACCATATTTGAAGTTTGATCTTCTTTCCTCCTAATTCAACTGTCTTTATCTTAAAATCAATACCTAGAAATAATACAATAGATAGCATACACTTATCTAATACACAAAATATCTTTGCTCTCTAAAGCAAGTGCACCCAGAGGTTTTCATCCCCAATGGCAACAATGGTTGTCAGGTTTCACATACCAGGCAAATTAGCTTGTTTGCATGATATGAAAATCAGTTCCACCTAAACATCTACACAAACAACAATAACTATAAACTTTTCTTTATAAGCCATGATTCTACTCTTCACATCTTAAAAACAAACAATCTTTTTTAAAAACACATTCTGTGGCATATACAAAATACACCCAAAATATTTAGCTATCACATTCATCTGTTTAAATCCTGTTGAACTCATGCTGAAATATTGTGAAATACTTGTCGAGAAATTAGCTATTTATCTTTAAATTGATACAGCAATTGCAGTAAATTTGAAAGGGTCATGCATAGGGCACAGGTTAGCTATTCCTCCTTACTGACAAGTGGTATTTTGAGTTTGAAAGAGAGTGACACTGGCAAACTTGCATAATTAGTGACATGACATTGATAACACCTTTTATATACTTCTGAAATGCAATTTTATACAGTAAACATTTATGGACCCTTTTTCCCCTGCTACCTATCTATGTCAGACCATGCCATCATGGATATCAATAATTAAGTGTTCTATTTAGACATTCATGACTATATCTCTGCAAATGTGGTTAATGCTGCCCGTGCTATTTTAAGGCATCTGTAGTATCTGTGCCATTATTGATTCAGAAGCCAAGCATGTAATCCTGCTGCTTAATCTTTATTACCAGATACCAGACAGATCAGTTCAACACCTTGTCTGTTAAAAACATGGCTGTAAAAACTACTCTCATATCCTTTAATTCGGTTGTTTATATTGAGGAAAAAAAAAGGATAAAACAGGAAAGACTTTCAAATCAACAGAAAAGGAAATGCCCAAAATGAAAAGAATTTAATTTCATAATTAGCATTCTCAAATACCAAAATGAGAAAAACAACAATCAGTATTCCAATTAAAACTTCGGGCATTTCCTGTTTGTATCAACACAAATGCATCTCTGTAACACTTTATAAACATACTAGTTCTTGATTTGAAATTTGCTTTTAGCTTCTTTACTAAACAAAAAGTCACTTTTAAAAGTGACTTTTGGACATGCCATGAAATGCTATGCTATATTGATGGCTAACAAGCAATGCCTTCAAGGTTTTCATTTTCCACATAATTCAAATTTCAATTATGTGAGGACTTTGATCAATTTATCTGCTATTCAAAGAACTGAATTTTCCAATTCATACACTGATTTTGTATGTTCATCCCTGTAATTACCTCAACTCTTATTATATGTGAGTAGTCAGTTGTACTTAAAGATTTTCTTTATAAAACCATAAAATGTAACAATCATTCAGTAAATCATCCAACTAATCTAGAAGAAGAAAAGAGACATTGATTTCAGGCATCACTTTCTGGAGTGCGTGTAATTTGATGTGAAAAAATCAAATATTTATAATGGTTGGAGCATTTTTACAAGTTATTTTATGTTAAACTGATTCCAAACTATATACAAGCTGGGTAACAACACACATCTTGACATGGAGTGGTATTAATGCCCTTGATGGTTCTTTAAAAAAAAATTATTAAAAAGACAGACAATCTCCAACTGGAAAAAACGGTAACTATGATCGCACAGTAGACACACTCTGGCAGACTTACTATCACTATTTGCTGTTGTATTGTAACTCGGTTTTCTGGTCGCAATTCCCAGTGACATAAATGAACTTGAAGCACACCCCACAGCAGAAAACAAATTTTACAAAATGAATACATTTGGGTATATCTAACGTAACACGTATTAACTTATCAAAAGGTGACATGATCTATCATCGTTGTAATCTATCATCAAAATAAAAACCTTTCTTTTTTCAAAAGTGAGAAAACTCTTCACCAGATGACTCATACTCATTCTTCAATTTTGACACTATGCCATGGTCCCTTCGTTTTGACTTTGTTTCACTTCCTATTTCTTTCAAATGCATCATAACCATGATGCCAACTCACCTATAGTTGATATAAAAGTCGTATTGAAAGCATCATCTGAAAATCTGAACAATAAGCAGGTCTTTCCCACTCCAGAGTCCCCTATCAGTAGGAGTTTAAATAGTAAATCGTATGTCTTCTTTGCCATTTCAAATTTTCATTCCAACTATCATGGCCTCTCACACCTTGTACCTATATGATGGGATGGGCAGTTTTTACTTTGACCAAACTGCCAATAAATGTGTTGGATTCTTATGTAAAATTTAATTTTTATAGTGAATATATGTAAATTTTACAATATATACTAACATATGTACATTTATATTAGGATGTTTAGCAACATAAAATTATTTGTTATGAACTAGGGTGAACATCCGGGTTATCCGCCTTGGCTAAAAACAACCAATAGACGGCGTGTTTCAAGAGGAGCGTTTTCTTAGCGTGATCAGAGTCAATATGCATTTACATATTTTACTTATCATTTTGACCCCCCCCAAAAAAAAAAAATAAATAAATAAATAAATAAATAAATAGATAAATAGATAGATAGATAGATAGATAAATAAATAAATCTTTCCAGAAGTACTGTCACGAGTAAAGTTTTCGTACTTTCTAACTACCCTCTACCAGGGCGACTGATAGATTTTTGTCATGACTTCAGCCCAAAATGACAATCTATCTAGCTAGAGACATATCTGTGAATATCTGTTAAAATCTATCAGTCGCCCTGGTAGAGGGTACTTTCTAACCATTGCTTCACCAAAGGTACATAATAACCGGGCGTCGGCGGAGCGTGGATTTCCAGTAACACATATAAACCACTTCAACTAGTTTCTCATACGATTCAAATAAATTCGACGTGCCAAGGGATAAACTGAAAAAAACACTCCACCAGCCATAAAAAAGCTTTAGACTGCTCCTTTCCTTAAATTTTTGGTTAGAATTTTAACCTACTTATGTGACCACTTTTCTGCGCCATTAATCAGAAAGCTAGCAGAAAAATTATTTTAAATATCTTTTTTTCGGGCAATTTTAAACAATGTCTTTTTGTTTATTCTCTTAGTTGTACTATTTGGACCCATATGTTGGCATTTGGTTGGCTTTTGTGGTAAAAAAATGGCAATCAGCGAACGTTATTCCCTTTGGTTGGTTCACGTTTATTTTTTAATTCGCGCTAAAAAATACCTGTACAAAGGTATTAATTTTTAGACGCTTTAAAAGATGTAGCATACTTTGGGGATATAAACAACAGAAGAAAAATAGAAATAAAAAATCCAACAAAAACTTAAAAACCAATTTTTTTGCGTTTGTACAGAAAATATTTACTTTAAAACCTATTTAGCAAAAAAAAAAAAAAAAAAAAAAAAAAAAAAAAAGTCCATATAACAATTGATGTGGTAGTAGCCTACCCGTATTTTAAAAATAAATTTGAGCTGAGTTCGGTAAGTTTCAGCCCCCCCCCGCTCTTTCATATTTCAGAGTATTTGCCATAAATCGGGCCTGCACCCGTTCATACGTGTTTTAAATGACAAACTCCAGTAATATTGTGGCGCATAAACCTTATATGAATAAACATAAAACTTAATATGTGTGGGAACCGCAACAACTAAGCTAACTACGGAACTCTTTTTAATTTGCAAATCGTCATTGCAATGTTCCGTTTCGTTCGGCCTTTTTTCAAGTGCGTTCGATGAGTTGGTCTTTGAAACCCTGTCGTTTTCGGTTGCCAGCCGGTGGCCAGTAGGCTTCCATGAATATGACAAGGACCCAAGAGAGCTGATGAAGTCGTTTTGATGCAGGTTATGAAAAAAAAACCGAAAAGACTCATCCTGGGTTTCAGAGGATGCTTGAAACGGCATGTTCATCGGGCTAATTATACATAAAACGTTAACGTTATAACACTCATTTTCAATATATAGGTCCATTTAACTTTTTTGTTTTATGTAAAGTAAGAGAACGGAAGACTTGTTTTTCCCAGTGGAATTTTACTGACATCAGTCCAGCAAATGAAGAAAAAAATTAAAAATAATTACTAGATTTATTCGTTCTCGCATAAAAAAAGTAGCTTGTGGCAACTTTCGCGGTGTCACCGGGTACCTTAAAAAATGAAAAAACCTTCGTTGCGTTTTTTTAGTGCAGGTCACCTTTTTTAGTTGTTTGCAGTTTTTGTCATATTTTAGCCATTAATAAAATCTTCAATTAAGTTAAATCCAAGATTAGCTAGATGCTAAATGTTTTACACGAAACACGGCAAATCCGTATTCTCTTAAAAAGTAATTTCCAAAACTTCCTTACTGGGCATTGTGAAAATATATTCTTGAGGTTTAGGACAAATGTGTCGCTAAAATTAACGCACATCTCGTAATACCCCTTTAGCGCAATTAAACTTTTGTTAGTAAATGTATAATTAACTTCGTGCAAATTAAAATAATATTCGTTGCTAAAATACTGACTTTTCCTCACTAATTAAGAATTTTTTCTATACTACTAAGGTATGAATTTTAAATTTTCCCATGATTTACAAAAAAAAGCTAGATTTAGCATTTTCTGTGAGCAGATCGAGATTCACAAAAAGTAGAAATCGCAAATACCTACGGTATTTTTCACTTTTCTGTTTTCTTCAAATGGACCTATATATTGAGAATGAGTGTGATTTTCTGGCTTTTCCTGGCATAAGTCCCTATCCTTGTGCTGAATTAAAAATAAAAAAATATGGTCTATTTATTTGTTCACTTACATGTTTACTAAGCTTACAACAGCCTGGATATAACAATTTTGACGAGACTGTGTGGAGTGTTCTTTGGTATACGCGCCATCTTTCGGACTGTTTTTAAATTACAGCCTTAGTATCCAATATGCAAATGAAGCAAATAGTTATAAACAACATGGAGTCCATGGATTCGAGAAGGTAAGATTGATACCCTTCCAATAAAATGTGTTTTATTACTATTTTAAGGGATAGAGAAGTGTTGTTTGGACTTGGAAAGGTTATTAAACAGTATGGCAGCATGGAAAAGGTAGATTGTGAGGGCTTTATTGTGGAATTGTGATAGAATATACTTGAAAAATGTTGAAATTACTCTACACACGGTTTGGGTCACAAACTAACGTAGGAAGACAAGAAACAACTAGTTGCCAGGCTAGGTTAAATGTTTTGAAAGTTGAAACATCGATGTCAAGCGCTGAATAATGTGTTTGCAGGGTTAATTTATTACCGTGTGTGTCGAATTGTGAAAATTGTGTTTTTTTTTTTTTTATTAGGCTGTATAGTTTTTGCACGCACTCTGTGTGGTACATGTATAATTATATTTCTAGTATGTACATGTCTAACATAGTAATATGGTCTGGGTGTACCGTTCAAATAGGACTTGTCTGACTCTACCTAACTCTGTAACTTGCTGCCTCTGTGAAAGAATATTAAGATTTTGACTTATAGAACCCAATTGTTTTAGTTTGTTTAAATTCTCTGATGTCAGTTGTCATCTGATTGAAAAAAATATATAATATCCATGTTTTCTTTAGGAATAAAGCATACGTTATATTTATAACAGAAGAGTTATATTTTTAATATTTTAACATATATAAATCACATATATGAATAGTCTGTCCATAATGGGCATTTGTAGTCACATGACACAATTTCTCTTGACATATGCTACCAGTACATCATGGAGGGTAAACAGCATGCAAACGTTGAATCTGTGGATTTTTATATATTTCGGTATATCTTTGCTTGTTATTTTGACCCTAATTTTAGTGAATATTTTGTAATTTTTTCATACATATGGGGGGGGGGGGGGGGGTCCTTATGATATTATAGTGTATGTAGAAGTATTTAGCAGCTTTAGTTCAAGTATTTTAACTTATTTGACAGCTTTCAGTATGGGTACTGTAACCTATACCCTATAGATAGTAATAGATTTGATGAAGTATTTTTATTTATCCTTTCAGGGTGTCCATGGATCATCTTAAAGTTGAAGGGACTGTATAGCTATAAGCATGGAAGGAAAATCAAAAACATATTTGATTTCAAAGAAAAATATATACTGGACATTGTGCAATTGACAGGCACAATTATAGCAAAACAGAAAAAGAAGAAGACACATAATTTTATATGAAATACTGGAGAAATTTGGATAGATATCTATATAAACAGAGAGAGAAAGAATTTTTTAAAAAAATATTAGTGGGAAACACTAACTATTCCTCACAATGAATCGTTACAATATTTCAAAACAGCTTGGAGATGGGACATATGGCAGTGTATTACTGGCCACTGCAGCAGAGTCAGGGGAAAAAGTGGCTATTAAAAAGTAAGTGCTGTGCTAATTACCTCTCATTTGTCCTTTCAGATTTTTTATTTTGTTAGTAGAGTTAACTGATGTTATGTATAAATTTTACAAATTCATTAACTCCTTCTTAATTTAAACTGTATTTATGCCTTTTCATTGGTTTTTTATTTGAAATATCATTACACCAGTAAGAACTGATATAAGCCAGTTGTTGTAGGAAAAGCTACATAGAATAAAATTATTATTTTGCTTTTAATCTATAATGGTGAAATTGTTGACTGATGTTATCTTATTCTCTATATCAAGTATTTTGAAGCACTACAGATGTTGTTAATCCTGTACAATCCTTTTTTATATAAATTCAGAATGAAGAAAAAGTACTACTCGTGGGACGAATGCTTAAATCTAAGGGAGGTCAAGGTAAGTGATAAAATTGAAAGATTTTCTTTTTTATAAAGTTATCACTGCATTGGTTTTTCCCTATATGTCATCATGTTTGTGTGTACTCTTTTTTTTTTTTGAACCCATCTTATACGTTTGTAAGTATTTTTGAAAAAGAGCATTCAAGCATTCTGTGGCTTTGATGAGAAAATGGATTTTTCCACGGGATAATACATCATGATTAGCTGCATTGGAGCCAGAGATATGGTGATTTACCTGAAGCTATTTTCATAATTACCAGGTGTAACTTGAGGATTAATATAGATTGATTCTTGGATACCTTGAGTGGTGTTTGTTATGGAGACAGGGTTTACAGCTGATTAATTTTCTTCTTTTGCTGTGAGATAATTTTTTTTTTAATTTCCAATTTTAGAATTTATTATACTTTTTATGTAAAGTATTTGTGCACAGTATGAATCATTGTGAATTTATTTGCCAATTCGTTTTTTTTTTTTTTTACGTCAGACGGATTAGGAGATCTACTGAAGCACTTATGGATAAGATTAAAAGACTAGATATTAGACATTTCTCTTGATGCTATTATAATGAAATAATGGAATAATGGCTCACACAACAACAAGATGCTCCTTTGATGGTTGACAGTTTTTTAGACAGAGTTGTATAGCCAATTGTGCATCATAGGTATGCTGAAGGCAAAATGTAGGTTATTCAGTCTACCCATAGGTACATAGAAACACAAAACCTAATACCATTGGCAAACAGATAGAAGTCGGCATGAATGGTGACCATTTTGTCCTTAGTTAACAGTGTTGACATGGTACCCAGGGAATTAATGGGTGGCAAACTATCAAAATTCACTTTATCATGCCCAGTCTGACCTTACTTTGTGTCACTGCTTCAGTGCTTGTTTAATTTTAATTCCTTAAAGCTGGTGAACCCACTTAATTGTAGGTTTAGCATGATTACTTAATTTACCACTTTGTTAATTTTTTTTCAAAAGCACTTGAATCAATTTATATATTTATCATTAATGAAATACATGAAAAAATCCATAAGGTAGTTGGTGTGTGTGTGTGTGTGTAAAAATATTATTGAAAAATTTATTTACACTAAATGTGTTTTGATATTTTGACATATTGATAGCATGTTTTATGCAGTAATATTTTTTGTTCTTTCAGTCCTTACGAAAGTTGAACCATGCCAATATAGTCAAGTTGAAAGAAGTAATCAGAGAAAATGATCAACTGTTTTTTGTTTTTGAATTCATGAAGGAGAATTTATATGACATGATGAAATCGAGGTGAGAATATATTAAGAATAGTGTATTGCAAACTGTAATGATGCACTGGTATTGGTATTAGAAAGCAATATATGTTATTATGTTTCATTTTGAACAGTCAGTTTATAACATGACTTTTTATTGATTATTCAGCTTATTTGTGCTGTCGCAAAAAAGATCTTTGTTCAAAGTATAAGAAAATCAAACATTCGAGAAATATTGATCATAAACTCCATTGAAAATATATCCCTTTATAATAACAAGTAGGTCAGTTATAAAACAACCCGTTTTAAAAGAAACAAAAGGTAATTTGATAAAGAGTAAAATACATTATTCTTAGTTGCCTGGCACCTTCAACACCATTGGGAATTGTTTTTTTCCACCAACTACTTCAATCAAAGTGTTTTAATATCGGACAGCAACATCACTCACTGCATTGATCGGCTGGATTTGCAGCACATTAACCTGTATGTGACACACACACATGCACACAGTCTGGCAAATCAATATCTGCTCAATTGGAAATTGTATTAGTGTTGTCAGTGTCAGGGGAGACGGTAGGCAAAAGGGTGCTGGATGCTTGCTCATACATATTGATACCTGTCTGGTTATTTACCTGTATCCAAAACTCACAATAACAGTTACAACAGTATGAGTGATATATGAAGACAATCTTTTGTTTAATGTTTTGGTGGATTGAACACACACTTGTTGAATTTTTAAGTTATATCTGTCAATTTCAATCCTTCCCTGTTAGCAAAGCAACTGCAATAAGTGTGAAAAAAATTAACTTCAGTATTATCAAAGATAAATCATACATTGCTATCTGAGACACTTAGTATTCTGCTAAATGTCAGCTGGATATATGATTCAAGTAAATGATTTTACATGATGTGTTGTGTTTTTTATTAACACTGTATGATATACCTATTTTCTGTGAACTTCCCAGTTTTGGCTTATTTGTTTTTACTGGAATGATCAGTGCTACCCATCCAGCTTTTTTCTCTTGATTTTTTTTTTGACTTATGACCTTTGAAATCTTAATAGTAACATTTTTCTTTTACTTTTTCAGAGACAAACTCTTTCCTGAATCTGCTATTAGAAACATTACATATCAGGTGATGCAGGGGCTTGCTTTTATGCATAAACATGGTAAGATATTTCTTTGTTTCTGCCTGTCTTTCTTCGATTCATTTATTTTCCTTTTTTCATTTTTCTACTTTTTCAAGGTAAGCTTATTGAGAAAATTGAGTACGACAAACAGTCTTATCCAGTCTATTATGAATAAATATTGAAGTAGCATAAATCTGTTAAATGTTGCTCTTTTTAACAGGCTTTTTCCACAGAGATTTAAAGCCAGAGAACATTCTGACCTCAGACCTAGATTTAGTTAAAATAGCAGACTTTGGCTTGGCCAGAGAGACACGGTCACGGCCACCTTACACTGACTATGTGTCCACTAGATGGTAAAAATGATGTCTTTGTATTCAGTGTGTGGCATGGGCTAATGCATAGTGTGTGTTGCACAGTAAAGGGAAATGGTTTCACATGCACACTGTGAGTCCCCAGGGAATGAAAATAATTAACCATCCCCAAGGCTTTGGCAATCAGCCAGCATACGTCTTTTTGGTTTTTGTGGAAATTATTGTGAGCATGAGAGACTGCTTCGCTTTACAGATAATGAATTAAAAACCGGATTAAGTTGGTTGCATGTCTATGATATGACCACAGCAAATCAATTACAGTAATTACTGAAAGTCCCAGATGGTTTCAGTGTGTGATCATACTCAATGAATTTTTTTGCTGATTTCAATTGCCATGGCTACCATCCTTGTTTACTGTAAACAAAAAGTGGTCGTAACTAATGCTGAGACATGCTCCCAACAACACTCGGTGGCACACATGGGTTCATGTGGTGGGTTGCAATTTGTGTGCATGGTGCACCTTATAATCCTTGCTTTATAACTGTCCAGGTTATTTCCACCGAGATATGAAACCTGAAAACCTCCTATGCACGGGGCCTGAACTGGTAAAAATTGCGGATTTGGGCTTGGCCAGAGAAATCCGCTCCAGACCTCCCTACACAGATTATGTTTCTACACGATGGTTAGTTTTTCTTTTTTTTTGCTAACAATACTAATATTTGTATATGGTGCAAGCTATGATTTATATTTATTGATTTTTAATACTAAGCACTTACTGTAGGTGTTGGGGTGATGATAAATAATACAAGAAACTGAACTGACCTTATCAGGAAAAAATGCTTGGTTGTAGCCATGGCGCCGCAGCAGCTTGGTTTTGTAACCTAGCACCTTGTGTACTTGCTGTTGTTTCATATTGTCATTCAGATTTTGAGAATCTTGCTTGATATAATAGTTGGAGTTTGAAAAAAATTTGTATGCAAATGAAACATTTTTCTTTTATTTTTATGGTATTTATGTACTACCAATATTGTAATAGTTGTAATGAATTGTTTTCTGGTTACAGTTATATTAACATGAGAAAGTTTCCAATATAAGTCATTAAGCATATGGCACACTTTGGCAAAGTATTTCAAAATTTTCTTACCTAAAGAGAACTGAAATATAAGTTATCACTGTACATGCTAAAAAAAAAAACCTCACCAAAATATGGTTCAAATATTCAAATCGAAAGTATTTTTTCTGTCAGGTATCGTGCCCCAGAAGTCCTTCTCAGGTCCACCAATTACAGCTCCCCTATTGACATGTGGGCAGTTGGGTGTATCATGGCAGAACTGTACACGTTACGCCCTCTTTTTCCTGGAAGTAGTGAAATTGACGAGATTTTTAAAATCTGCTCTGTCCTGGGCACGCCAACAAAGGTTTGTATTAACCTGAAATTGTAATTATTCCTTAGATGTCAAAAAAGTTCAAACTAATTCATATCTGTTGTATTTTTGCCCTGATTTTTATAAGATTTTATAAGATTATAAGATTTTTATAAGATTTTATAAAATCTTTTCTAATGTATGTTAATAATTGCCATTTATCATACTTAATGAGATTCACTTTTTATAGTTGTTAATGAATTTTTTTGCCCGTGATTCATTCAGATGGACTGGCCAGAGGGACATCAATTAGCAGCAGCCATGAACTTCAGGTGGCCACAATGTGTTCCCACCAATCTTAAGACACTTATCCCAAATGCTAGCAATGATGCTATCAGTCTCATGAGAGATCTCTTGCTCTGGGACCCTAAGAAACGGCCAACAGCGAGTCAGGCACTTCGATATCCTTATTTCCAAGTTGGTCAGAATCTTGGAGTTAATACAACACAAACACCGCAACAGAGGAACACTGTGTCTTCTCATCAGGCCCCCCAGCAAGTGCACAGGCCTTTACAAGAGCAGAAACAGAATGTGTTACCTGCCATACCTAACCAAGCACAGAAACAGACAACAAATGTAAGTTTGTTTTTACATTTGTTTTGACCAATGCACCTAAATGTATTCATGATGTGAAGATGTATGCATTTTGTATTATGCTTAAAAAAATTATTACAAATAATGGAACATTTCCAAAAATTATTTTACTTGTGTTTTCTGAAGTGTTGAAGTCAAATAATTTTTTGGTGTTTTCCCATTGAGCATGTTTTTATTTTATTTTATTTTATTTATTATTTTGCAGGAATTTACTACAACTAAAAAGAGTGGTACATCACGGAAGCGCTGGGGTGCTGGTCATGACAGCTGGGATGACTGGGATGACATGGACTTTAGTTCTAGTATAAACAAAAAGCCATTGGCTCATGTAGGAAAGAAACAGACGGATGATGACTTCTTGAGGTAAATAATGGTGAATGGTGTCTATGGAAATGTGCACAAGATTAGTCCTCATTAAGGCTAGTTAGTAATGGCGGGTGTAAACCGGACAGTTTTTTGGCATGTTTGTAATTTTTCTCATGTGCGTTAGCCAATGCCATCAGCAACATTTATAATATAAACTGTTGTGACAATTTAATCTTGCATGTTAACAATAAAGATCGATAAAGTAAGTTTTCTTTTGGTAGATGTTTTCAAACCACTGCTTGAAGGAGGTGAATATTATAGTTTGGTTTATTTGTGCATTGAAATTCTAAATAAAACAGTTGAATATTATATCTATTCATACTATGTGTATTGCAGTAGTCTTAAAGAGAAGCCTGTCCACAAGCCAGTTGGTGCTGTTGGTAGAATGGGCTCTGGGAGATCCTCAGCATCTTCAGCAAAGCAACATTACTTGAACAAGGCCAGGTATCTACCAGGTAAGGTAACTGACAGTAGTAATCAAGCTATGCCAAAACTCATTTGTTATCACCATCTTGGTGTAATAGCCAGAATATGTGTAAAGTTGTAAAGAAGTAGCACATTGAAGAGTCTGACCATTTTCTTAAGGTGTTTGGGAACAATCAAAAATAAAGATTAAAAATATGTAAAGCTTAAATAGATAATCTAACTTTAAAGCAGTATTCACCATTTTACTTTCTCTCCCCTAAGGTATCAACACACGAGAAAGTGCCAAATACAGTGCCTCTACTTGGGGGACAAATAAAGCCAATGTAGGGACCATGAACATTAACAGGACAAATAATGGTAAGTAACAACAACAGTGACTGCTGGGTTAAACAAGCTAGGTGCTGTACAGCAAAAGCAATGTTCACGTGTTAAAGGTTTTTCTATAAACTTATGCCTTTGATATATACCTTTGATAGAAGTATTACATGCAAAAAAAAAAAAAAAATAGTAATAATAAAAAACTATTTTGATGTGATATTTCAGGTATTGTTTGTCATGTTGTTTGTGTCTTTATTTAATTTATTTTGGATTGCTTTGACGTGTCTTTTTTAAACGGTGTATTACATAATGGATAATTTAATTAATTTCATTTTGGTGTCTGTTCTGCTTATGATGGTTGCACCTTTTTGTTTTTCTTCCTTCACAGCTAATGCAGGGGGCACTACAACAGGCTATGTCCCCTCCTTCTTGGGCTCTGCAAATAAAAACAGTGAGTCATGCCTTTTTATTTTGTTTTAGTTGGCACATTTTTGGTTAAATGCCTTTTATATTTAGTTTCTGTGCATATCTCCTTAATGTTATCCTCTAGCTCATGATTTACAAGGGTAGCATGCTCATTTTTCGTGCTAATATTACCATGCTCAAAATCCTGCCTGAAGTTCAGGATTGATTTGTAAATCAAAGTTGATTAATAAAGAGGACTTTTGAATTGCCTGATTTTAATACACGTTTCTTACATTGATCTCTTCCTAATTCTTGTTAACCCTTATTTTTTTTCAGATTATGGAGCTGGAGGCTGGAAAAGACAGCAGCCCACAGTGTTACCGTCACTTAATAAGAATTCGGCAGGTGTCCGGTCAGGGCAGCAGGTGCAGGTCACTGGAAGGACGGACTGGGCAGCTAAGTAAGGACACGCTGCTTGAATGTTGTTAAATATTATATTAGGAGCACAGCGTTAGCTTGTAAACAGCAAAATAAATTGAAAAGTTGCATGTTACTTACACTGCACATTTTCAGTTTTCCCTTTGATATCGCTAGATGACTTGTAATGTGGTTGGTAATTTAAAAATGCCATCACCATTCCCCCATTTTTGAAGGCAGTTCTTTGCATTATTACAACAGGAATTGAGACATCAATCTCATTGAGGTGTTACTAAACATCACTGTGGTATCTTTTACCCAGGACACTGTTCTACTCTTTCTTTTCCCTGAGTAAAATGTATGCTTTGCTCCTTTTCCATAATGTCATCATGTGTACATATGTGTACAATGTACATATTAACATTATTACAACTTTTAACAAAGATAACATTCAGAGGGTGATTTACCTTATCATTGTGTTCCCCATTGTTGTCTTGTCTTGTTTTATGTGTTTTTATAAGTCTGTGGTTGATATAAATTGTTGTGTGTTGTCTTCTCTCCAGCAGTCAGGATGAAGGTAAGCTGCTATCAGCCACATCCTGAATAAAAAACATTCTTAGCTTGGGTGATAGGGCTGTTTGCAGGTTTGATAGCTGTTCACATTGTCATCCCCACCCTCACCCTATGACCGAGTTATTGAGAGTGTGAACCATCTGTGTACAGACATTACTTTTCCACAGTCAACCTCACACCATGCTTTCTTTACCACGAATGAATTTTTCCCAAACAAATACTGCCTTGGGTGATCACAGTTTCTCTTTTGGTCATTTCTTTACCATTAAACAGAAGCATGTTTGTGGAGAAATTTTTTTGATTTGTGTGCAGCCTTTAAGTATTATATCCTGTACTGGTCACCTAATGTTTCAATCATGAACCCATCATTACCAGTCTTGTCTTCTTTGTAATCTGAACTTTAAATCTGCACACATTCAGTCACATGTGCAAACTTTCTGTCATCCTTGCACAGCCCACTTTTGCCATTCCAAATTCTTCATACAAGAAAAATAGTTTTACTAAATTATTGAGGAACATATATTCTAGCTCAAAAGCAATTCCTTCATCCTAATTTTCCCTTTTATTTGCACTTCACATTTTTCTTACACATTACATAATGTAAATGTATCTTGATGTTAATGGGGCAGACCTTGAAAATAGTTATGGCAATTTTATTCTTCTTTCACACTTGTGGAGCCAGGTTATATTTATTTGTGTGTGGCCATGTGTGTGCAGAGAATTTGGTGGGGGGACTTTTATTATGTGTCTATCCAAAATGTGTTTAATTTTGTTAGCTAGACAAACTGACCAAAATTTCTTTCTTTTTAATTTCAGATACTTGAAGTGATTCTATAGATGTCTGTAAAGGCTGTTAAATTGATCAGCAAACCAGAGGAGAAAAATCTTTAAATGAAGAAAAAAGAATCATGAACTCTGCGATTTGCAAAGAAATATCTAGCTTATGACAATCGAGCAGTTTTATGAAAAGACAGATTTAAAGAACATGTTGTGTAAGTCCAGTTTTAAGTTACATTAAGGAGTCCTACAAGACTAAGTGCACGTTTGTTGATCATATATCAACTGCTGTTATAGGAATGGTACAGAGATCTTGTTAATTTTATGTACATATAGAATCTGAACAGATCTTTGATGGTGTTCCTCATTCATTGTGGATCATATAATGCATCAAATATTTATTGACATTATGAAATTTCTCACATTGTTCATTTCAAGTTTGTTTTTAAATATCAATCATCTTTGCAATGTATATATTATAGCTATATAAGCAGATATTTTACAACTAAAATAACATGTTGTACTGGTTGTATAAATAGTTTTTCTGAACTGTACAATGTAGTTCATATTAATGTGCGACTTTATTTAATGATATGACATTTCCATGACTAGTGATGACTTTTTGTCAGTCTGCTTCATGAATATCCATTTGATTCTTCAATTTAACTTTCCCTCCTATTTTTTTAATTGCCTTTGAATGTTTTAGATCTTACATGTTGCTATGCTTTAGCTGTAAAATTGCTTTTGGAAAACATAATAACAGTCAGTCAAAATCAGATATACCAGTGGAAAAAATGCAGAAGCACAATGTATCTTAAAAATTGATCTAGAAAGTGAATGAAAGATGACCCATTGGACATCAGCACTGTACACCCTCATTTCAGGATTTGTTCATAATGATTATTCATATTTCATTTCTTTATGACTACTGACTATAAATATTTTTAATTATTATAATTGCTTTACTGGCCTAGTTTAGGATGTATATTTGTCATGCAGTCAACCTGAACAGAGAATTTTTTTAAATTCATTATTTGAAACTTGGAATGTACCTGTCATGAATGCAATATTACTTGCTTGGTTGTAGTTTACCAAATGATACATCTCTGTATATTAAAATTACAGAATAAATCTCTTATTGTAAATTTATCCAGAGTTTTTCAAGTTCCATTTATAAGATCATGTATAAAACATGCCAATTTTAGTCATACAAATGAACTTTTTGTAGTTTGGTATGTCATTTTATAACACTTTAGTACATTTCAAAAGAGGCAATCTTGGGAAGTGACACGAAAAGAAAAAGTGCAGTGCTTGATTTCCTGGGATAAAATGATTTATTGGTTATCTAGATATGTACAGAGAAAAGATTGATAGTCACCTCTTCCACAAATATTTACAATTGTCATCAATAAATCCCCTCAAGTATATATAAACTTAATCTCTCTTAGAGAAATAATTAAATAATAGCTTCAAAAAATGTTACAATGAAATATGTAGATTCCTATCAAGCATCAAAAGAGAAACATGATAACTTGATTTCATTGAAAAGGAAACAAACTGGTAGTTACTATAGAAATCCTAATATAACCAAGTAAGTGGTTGAATTGTTTAGACATGTCCTAAACTGACACCCACTACATAAACCAACCAATTCCTTTATGCAAAACTACGAGCAGAGACCTCGAGATAATCTAGAGACAGTTTATTGCACAATGGTTCAAAATACCAGTAGTACTCCCTTTACATATTGCTATAATTCATATAGATAGAAATGGTATAATCAACCAATGAAAAAGATTTGTTTTGTAAATAAATGTAAAACATTATCAGTTTTCTCCCAATAAAATTAAAGCACATTCTCACTGATATTGATGATTCTATTTAATAGGTACTGCTTCTACTTCCACAACTGTGAATGCTGTACATACTAAAATGTATATACATGTGTGCAGCATAATTCCAATTTAAGACACCTCTGCATAAAGATTTAAGCAGTGAAAGGCAAAAACAATGGAAACTGAAGCACTTCTATCTTCCTTTCCAGATTAAAGAAGTCTAATCACATACAAGCACTCTACGTCCTACTTGAGCAGTCTTGTTCCTCTTTTCTATATACTCCATATGATATCTAAATTATGAAATGCCAAGCTGGCAATATGGCGAAAAAGTCTCTGTAAAAACAAGTTGGTGTTGGCCTAAGCACCTTTTTCAAGCCACCAATGACCTATAATTCAACAGTCTTCTTAAACATGACGATGCTATTGTATATCTTCAAAGCTGGGCCAAGCTTTATGTTCATAATTTTCACAATATCTGCCTGATTCAGTAATAGGAAGGCTTCGCCATCAATTTGCTGTAAAACGAATATATTAAACTTGTTACTTGATACAAAGCACGCCCATTATCACATAAGTACTGAATAAAGACAATATGTAGCAAATAATTCTTAAGTGTTGGTCCACTGCAAATACAATATAAGTTGTAAGTAGTTAACATTAAATAAATGAAGAAATATACAAAAGCTTATGACTGAACAAAGCATCTGTACTTAAACTGAACTGTCGTACACTGTCAAAATGAACTGTGTAAAAAAACTAAAGCCCTCACCTCTTCTTTGAAGACATTAGCTTGTTCCATACATCCTGGCAATGTCCTGATGAAGTTGGCCACATCATCAATGCTCCACTTGGCCACCTGGCCCCCCAGGATCTTGTCTACACCAGGCAACAGTTTGGAATGTTGCTCCCAGCACAGGGGCATGTCTTTGTTGGGAGTAGGGGCTGACGGGGGCATAAACACTGACTGGTGGATACCCTGGTGGAGGGCATGCATGTCTGGAATAGAGGAGTAGACTTTATAAAGCAGGGCATCTCTGTAATGCCCTGTACGTGACTGAAGATTAATATGTCATTTTTACATTGATGCAGTGCACTCCTTTTACGTAGCTCTTAAATACACTCTGGTCTATTGGATAAGCATGTGAAACATAGCATTGGATGCATTCTACAACGTAAGTTTCATTCCCCTTTAAGAGTTGCTGTATTAAAATAATTAATCATAACTTATCCCAAAGGAGGTGTACCTTTAGGTTCTCTGTATTCCTCCTTCAGTAAACGCCTGTTTCCATGGAATTTATGCCTAAAACATCAAAATATACAATTATAATACATCTATATACATTTCTTTTCAAATTCATTCTAAAATGAGCCTTTCTCAAATTTCCAAGATAATAGCTAGCGACTTCTTTATGCATTAATACATTGCAAAAAATTAAATTAAAAAAAAAAAAAAATAAAATAATAATAATAATAATAATAATAATAATAATAATAATGCTTCCATTTTAATAAATTTCAATTTTAGAGCTACAATATTACTTTTTTCTTCCGCGTTTCCCAGGTATTTTGTTGTGCAGCTTTTTGTATGTAAGACGCACAGGTTGATAGTCATCATCCCTCTCGTATCCTGTTCCGTTCATCAAACCCTCTTCCTCCATTTTGATTCTGTTCTGTTCTGCCAGGGGGCAGCCAGAGATGCGGTGATGGGAGGTGTATTTGCCTGTTATGTGGCCAGAACTATCACAACCAGAAGTGGGGCACTTCCTACATGAAAGGGAATATTTGCATATTTGCGTCACTTCTTTATGAACAATTTGTCATTTCAAACCTGTCAATACCTTCAACCAGATTAATAAATTAGCAACTTAAAACAGTCTTGTAAATGGCAAAAGAAGTGTTTCAAAAAAAAAAAAAAAAAAAAAAAAATACTGATAATATACTGCTGCAGCTACTTGGCCAAGTATTAAAATGGCAAGCAATGGACATTTTTTTAGTGCTTCAACCATGAAATACAGTAAGCATAGCTGGTCATTTCTATTTGTTTAATATACATCTTTATTTACATGTAAACTGAAAGAGAGATGGCTACTGTTATACAAGTGTATAAGGGTGTTACACATCTTGTAGTTTTTTGTAATATTTTGTAAAACTATGTATATTTCTTTTCTGTGCTGGAAAAAACCATGAACATAACGCAGAATTTTTAACATAAGGGCAACTTAGTTAAACCTAACACTGTGCTTTTTACAAAAGTTGTTATTTTAATAATATACTGTTGTGTGAGTGAAACTCACTTTTCATCAGGAGAAATACTCAGTTTTCTGGCTTTCATCTCTGCCAGCTCTGTTCTCGTAGGTCCCAGTCTGTCTGCCAGTGCGGTTTCCTTGTTCATATTCAGATTAGAGTATGGACACCCAAAAGCACTGAAAGAAAAGAGTTCAGTAAATGTTCAAGTTTGTGCAACTGTGACAGTGTTCTCCCAAAGACCTTGGATTCATTTAAAAATAATTTTAAAAACCTGTTAATTTAATAGAGTAGTCATAAAATTTAACCACATAGAAATTATATCTCCTAAAGTACCTTTCCATTTGCAGACAAAAAACATTTCTTCATTTAGTACATAATAAAAACAGTTACTATAAGAGCAATTTTTAATCAGACAGAAATTTTGTTGTTCACAAATGAACACCCATGTTTCTTTCTGTACAATAACAGTGTATCACCCACCTGTGATGTCCAATGTACTTGGCTCCCTTGATGTGTCCAATCCCCTTACAGCCTGGAGTGGGGCACCCACTGCCATCTTCATTCACAATTAAGTCTGCAGGACCTAAAAATAGTTGAAAGTATCATAATAATGCACTCTAGCCATCTCTGTCCAACATACAAGTTATTTTCATTGTTAAGACATCACTGGTATGTCTAGTTATTAACTGCCATGATTACCATTTTCTAAAATCCCCACTTTAGCAAATTTATAACAAATCAATGTCTAAGTCAGAAAATATTAGCACTCTTCTTTATAAAAGTTTAATTTTTCTTTGAGTCCATAATCAATTCCACCATCAACTCACCAACAGGTGGCTGCAGTGGGTGTCCTGTCTTGCTGCACCAGCCAACAGGGTGTAAATCTGGGGAGTCATCGTCCACCCAGTAATCATACACATCAGACCAGCCATCAAAGTGCAGCTTTACACGGTAATCTTCAGCCTCAGCTACTGTAGCCACCCGTACCAAGATCGGGTTCCTCTTGTCAACTGCCTCCAGTTTGTAGCCAGCTTCAAATCTCAGAGGGGGACGCTGAAGTGTGACAATAGTGTCTTTTGACGATTCAGGGTTGCTCGGGTACTTAAAGTATATAAGTGAGGTTGCCCTAGCTGTAAATCTTAGCAATTACCATCTAGTAATACTTAACTTTTCATGGAAATCAGAATCCCTTTTCAAACAAAGAAAAATAAGGGACTAGTATCACTAAAATCTTTAAAGATGCTTCTAAATGACAATGGTATAACAAAAAGAAGGAATCATATATAATTTCATACTTATGCACACACATACACAGCCAACAGATGATCAGTTATTCCCAAACCTAGAGCAAACATTTTCCTACAATAGTAACCTGGTGATTCAGACTGGTGTTTTCTCTCACATATTCAAAATAAAAACTATGATCTAGTGCTAAGCATTCAAATCAATCTAATAATAATCTTTGTTGGTTCTAGAACATTTTAAACAAAGAAATGAAAAAATAAAATGTTAATACAGACATACAACAAGTCTTGCTACCATAATATTCTCATTTGCAGACATATACTTACAGCTTTGAATGCTCTAGAGGGAACTGGTTGGGATTTGGTTTGTCGTAAATAATCCTCCCACGTGAAACTGGACACATCTTTACAGTCTGAATATTAGAGAAAAAAAAAAAAAAAAACAGTTTGTTGGGATCATTAGAAATAAATCCAAAATTCAAACCTAAAAAAATGTTCCATTTTCCCATTTGAGAAATTACAATTTCCTGTTATAAATTGTTTTAAATGTTTTTTCAACATCTAAAAATTTTTTTTTAATAATTGATAGGGTACATTCCAGATAAATGGTGGAAACACCACAGAAAATGTGAGTTGAAGAACTAACCATTTGGTGGTGAGAGTGCCTTTCCATTCTCTTGACACCATCCCACAGGGTGAATGTAAGGGGAAGTGGGTTCACACCAGTAGTCATAAATGTCTTCCCAACCATCGAAATGGATTAGAAGACGATCGCCAACCACATCTGCCACTGTGGCAACGCAAGTTAAAGCTGTATTTTTCTTGTCTACAGCTTCCAGTTTTAATCCTATTCTGAAGCCATGTGGTGTAACAGACTAAGGTAAAGGAAAGAAATATGTCAAGATGTGTAAACGATACAAATAGCATTTTCAATGATTAGCAGTAAAGGCTTCTTAATGGCTTCTAGTCTAATATTTCATCTCATTTTTCTTCTTATAGCATTACAAGATATTGATTAGTAGCTTTGTTTTTTACATTGCCAATACTGAAAATTCTTCTGATTTGCCAGTGATGCTACACATTGGAGTTTAGCATGTTAAAACTGTATTATAACAAAAGCAATATCATTTTACAAAAAAAAAAAAGTTTTGGAAAGATATTGAAAAATTTTGAACATAACTGTATTCTAGGCAGAACAAATGATAATGAATAATTTATATCTGCACGTAAAATCAGACGTAAGCAGACATTAATTGAAAGAATTGACTGAAATCAACTAACATGCTGACAATATTCAAGTCTGCATAATGCCAATCAATGGTAACACCACAGTAAAATTGGCTGCAATCTGCAAATTGACTGACAATGCTCAAGTCCATGGAAGGAAGATTTTATAAGAATATGTGTTAACACAAAAATCCACTTACAGCTGCTTGTTGTACACTAAAAAGATGTTTTGGTGCCGGTGAAGCCTTGGACAACTTCAAGTAGTGATTCCAATTGAAAGTCTGTGGTGTAAATCCTAAATAGAACAGCATTGGTACATGTACTATAACTTCACATAATTAATAAGACAGTTATCAATCAGGATTACCTGTCAAATACTAAATAATTGACTCAAATTACCTTTATTCATACAATACATTACATAGCAAGGAAACTCAACCAGTGAAAACCAAAGAGTTACTTTTGTTCTGTTGTAATTGAGATCAGGAATAACAACAAGGATTTATTGTGGATTCACATTTATTTGTATCATATGTCTTATTTTTCACGGCAGTGGCCTAGTACTAAGTTTGTTTTTTTTTAATGTTCAACCATTTAAGAATGTTCAAATATTTTTGACTGGGAAAATACCAGATATTCAAGTCTATTTTGTCTCATTTCATTTTGAAAAAAAAAAAGAAAAAAAAAAAAAATGTTGCCTAGCTTTTACAAAACTAAGTTTTGACTTACCAAGCCCTGTTGGGTTGGTCATCAATGGAAAAAATGGAAAAGGACGTTAAGTTTTGTTTGAAATGAAAAGTTAATGCAACCCAACCTACTGGTTAGCTAAGAGGGAAAAGTAAGGCTAGTATAATACTGCGCCACTAATTGGTTCAAAGTTAATGTGCATGTTCCACCACACAAGCTCCACCAGAATTGGTAAAACAGAAGTGACTTGCATCGATTTTTCAAAACATATGTGCAAATTCACCACAAAATAAATTTTGTGCACAAAAAAAGGACAGTGGAAACAATGGTGTTCAAAGTCAACCACCAGCCATATTATTTCAACTGGGTTAAAAGTTGCTTATAAACAGAGGTCAGACCAATGCACCATATACAGAAGTGTCAAAAACCAACCACCTTGTATTTGGGCAATATAATGCCCATTTGCTTCACAGTGCTAAAAAATATAACTAAAACACTGCTATGTTGATACTTTATCCACTTTTGATATCAATGGCTCTGATACAAGAATAAATATGTTAAAATGGCTGACTAGCACATCATATAGCTTGAATACAGCTGCGCACAGTCCTTTTGCTTAGCCTAGCTAAGAAAACACTATAGTCAACATGAGAGACAAGCGAAGATGTGATAATCAAGGCTTAAATGTACCTTTAGGCGGCTGTAGTTCTTTGTCACTCTTCTCACACCATCCAGCTGGAAAGATCTCAGGAGAGTCTGCATTAGTCCAGAAATCATAGCATTCAGAGTAGCCGTCAAAATGGAGGCGTAGACGATAGCCGCAGACCTCTGCCACAGTCAGAACACTGTACAATGATGGGTGCTTGGGGTCAATGCCTTCCAGCTTCATACCAACTCTGAAGCTATTCTTATTTTGTGGAAAAGCCTGTGTGGATGATAGCAAGTGAAAACTTAACACTTCTACAACATTTCACCAATACCTCATTTGTTGATTTTTGAATATGCTGTATATCATGAAAGGTTGAAAAAATTCAATGAGGCAAGTCTTAGCCCTTTTAATGTAAAAGGTAACTATTGCAAAAGCAATAATTAGAGACTGATTCCACATTCTGATACCTACATTTACAAACAACCTATCTGGTGCAGCCACTGATCCTTCCTGCTCCATGTAAGTTTGCCAATTAAAACCCTTTTTTCTTCCTAAAAGCAACAATACACAAAAACTCTACTGATTAATACACCTCAGGGTGCAGTCTAAGTTCCAAGATCATGACATGTACTAATGCTGTAAACAAATGATTTAAACAAAAGGCATAACTGTTTAAAATAGTTTGCCATCAAAACAAACATTTCACATTTAATCATCCTTTGCCTCTTAAGTTGTTGAAACTGCAAGTTAAAGCTCTAGATGATGATAGGGCATACAGAGAGTTATTCACTTCAATATTAGGTTTAACTTGTTGAATGACTGCATCATTCTTTTGTTCCTGCTTACCAGGTCCATTCCCATTGGTCTTAGCAGCAACATTCTCTTCTTCCTGTCTCTTGGCAAATTTTGCTTGGGTGACAAGTTCCTTTCCTACACTAGCCATCATAGCCCTCTTCCTTTTCTTTAGCTTCAATCCTTCAGCGCTGTTTGCTTTGGGAATCAGCCCTTTCTTTGCAAGAAGACCTCTCCTAAAAAGACATTTAAATCTATGTTACTGAAACTGTTTAGATGCCATAATAAAAAATTTAGTTTGACTCTTCAAACCACAACACTCAATTACACAGCAATAGTCAAACCAATGCAAGATTCAATCTGAGATCAAAGAAGAAACTATTTAGTACATCAAAATACAATCAGTTCAGAGAAAAACTGTCATTATATGACTTAAAATGGGAGTTCACACATGAAAGCTCTGAATGGCAAAAATTTTTGGTCATGACAAGTAAAATTTTAAATTGATATTACAAGTGCAAAAGAGTTATTTAAAAGGGTCAGAGTTGTACAAAATTATATTGAGATTTAAGGACAAAATTTAAAGGCCAACAAAATTAGTTTCAATCGGGTAAGCTTTTAGCAACAATTTCACATTAAAAGTCTGAAATTTTGAACATTTCTGGCACTTCTTCTTAACTAGTAACTCAATCTTGTTACCTTGTTAAAGCATTTGGTTTCATGCAGGTATTACATGACAACATGGCACATTGCCGTATTCCAAACAAAGGTTGTTCAAGATGCACTTACTTGCTAGCATACATGCCCACACAAGACTTGCTACAGAATCGGCCAGAATTACAAAACTCACTGGCAATACCATAACAACCACAATTTTCACACCGACATATCTCATCAGTGCTGCTAACACTCAACTTTTCCTTGATGTCTGTAAATGAAAAGACAATATTGCTAAAAAAAAAAAAAAAACAATTTATATGAAATAATTAACAGCACATAAATTCAACACTGCTATCGTTGTTTGTCAATTTATTTACTCTTGAAGTATTGAATTTGCATATTACTTTCTGGGTACAGGAACAGTGGATGCTGACACTACAATTTGTCTGAATACCTTAGCAGCACAGAAAATATACCAACCCTCCAAGTCTTCAAACCCAGCATCCATCCCCTCTTCTTGTATTATGTCCTTCTTAAGATCCTCTCCCTCAACATCAACATCATCTGTCACTACTTCTAGTCCTCCAAATTCATTCATACGGAACTACCAACAAGAAGATTAATCAATAAAAGAAAATCCATATAAAGGGCCATGCAAAAGCAAAATATAATATACTATAATGTGGGCTGATTACTATTTTTGACACAACTGTTTATATCATCCACATCCAGAAAATGGTTTCAAATAAGATATATTTAACCATTTGATGCTAAATTTCTTTAACCAAGGGGTGATCTATGAAAGTATATATGAAAGTCGTGTCCTACCTTGAGGTCACTTCCAGGTAATATTCCAATCCCATTCTCCCACTTTAACGAGTCCATGGCATCAAAATCCCCTGGTATTGTATCTGTTTTGTTCACAGCACTAGCACCAGCAGTAGTTACATTAGTTGTTGTCATCTTATTCTCACTTTTCTCACCATTCTCTGGGGGCTCCTTTTTGTCAACTTTCACCTGTGGTTCTCCTATTAACTTTGACCCATCTGTACCGTCTGTCTGAGCACTAGGTGCAACTGTTGCCAGCCCAGTTGACGTTTCTGCTGTGATTGGTGCCACCGGTGCCACACTGACCTGTGGTGCCACCGCAGAGGTGGTGGTGCTAGTGGCGCTGGTGGTGGACACGATGGGTGATGGTGTCCTCTGCACCTGAGGAGCTATATTAGGTGCTAGGGGGATAGGCTGTGACTGAGCAGGTTGAACAGACACACTCTGGGCTGGCATCCCTGGTACAGCATTGGCCTGCACTGGCTTGGTACCACCCACTGGAGCTCCTGGTGCACTCGGTCTGATTGTATGGACTGGCTGCTGGGCCAGCACTACTTGAGAGCCTAGAATATAATGCGTTTTTAAATTTTTATGTTAATAGATGATTGAACCATGTTGTACCTGGATTCAACCTGCATAATTTTTGGAAAAAGAAAAGCATAACATTTAGACATTTTCAATATAAAAGGAATTTATGTATGCTGGGAAGTTTTCTCATTTGACAAAGATATGAAAAAAAGTCTCACTATTAATATTTCAAATGCGGTTATTTCTATTATTATTATTATTATTGTAAACCACCACAGATATACCCCTCACCTGGTGGATATCTGACATTGGGAATCTTTAGGTTGACCAGTTGGCCAGGCTGTAGTGATGTGGGCAGGCGGAGACCAGAAGTAGTCATCACAGGAGTCATCTGAGAACCCATGGTGGCTGAAAAGTTGAAAACATATATATTCCTCATAACCAGGATAACCAGGCATATTCAGAACATTGAGTCAGCTGGTGCATTAAAAATCCCACAAATAAGAAAACTGAAACCATACCTCTAGAGGCAAAATAAAAACAAATAAAAATTTATCACTATGAATGACTATCTAGTCTTAAAACATGCAGTGGGTGCTACAAAAGCACTCTACAGCCAAAAGATCCTTACCCGCCACCAAAGCAGTTTGAGGGATTACAAGGGGGGTGCCATCATCAGGCCTGGACATAGCTACCCCACTCCCACTGGTAGAGGGTCGAATATTGATGGCCCCTGGGGGGAAAAACCCAACACTTTTACTACAGAAGCCATAAAAGAAGCATAATATACAGGCACTTAACCAATGACTTAAAATGAGCATGTTTAGCTAAACCAGTGCCAAGTTGGAGAAAAGAGAGTAAAGGTTATCAATGTTGTAAGTATTTGTTAAAAACTTTAAGTTACATATGAAGCAAGATTCCCTTTAACCTATGTAAATCAATACTACCAGTATTTCACACAACTCAAATAAAGTCGGCATGCCAAAATAAACCGACATTAATCAGTCCATCAGCCATAAAAGACATTAAAAATGCACTTTCTTCACATTTTTGTTTGTAATTGTAAATTTTACCTACTTATCTGTCCCCCAGTAGGAAAAAGTCAGCCATATGATTAAGTAATGTATGGTGCATTACAGATGCATGCACCATACCATCATTATTCAAATGAAAACAAACCAGGGTTATACATATAGCACAGAAAGAAAGCAGAAAATATCTGTTCAAATATATTTGGAAGATACATAACAATGTCCTTTGGTATTTTTTAAGTTATTCTATTTGAAACTATATGGTGGCATTTGGTTGGATTTGCTACAAAGTCAACTCGTCTCAAAAAGCACCTTTAACTTGCTAAAAAAAAGTAAGAAACTAATATGTCAATGTTTCAATGTTCTTAAAATATCTATTATTTCTGCCCTGATTAATGTATTACATCTTTGCCTTGTCAATCTACAACATGAATGGCTTCCTCTCCAATCACCTTTTGCATCATAAATTAATTTACATACCATACTATGGTATGTTAATAATAGGGCTGATCACCTCTAACAGTAAAAAAATTTAACACATTATGGGTCTGGGTCTCCTCACCCTGTAATATCATCTTTATTTGCACAAATGCTCATCCTGCAGTATTATTTTCAAAAATGCTTTTAAATAGGCAAACACTCCAGTAATAGAGAGAATGAAAATACATCAACAAATACTGCTTTCAGTGACAAGTTAAGAGTAACTTACAAGTTTTAATTCAAGTTCCACAAAGATAACATTCTTCTCTGGAAAATTTCTCTCAATCTATACTGAATATCATAAACCAACCACGTACTTATTGTTTGGTTAAAATATCATTCACTTCCTGGTTCACTTCTTTTCATATCAGAAATTGGAAAGCCCACTTGTGATATCTCCCCATCCAATGTTTATCTGTCATAGGAAAACATGGGACAGCATTTAACAATTTTCTTTATGCTGGTTCATTATATTGGATACCCCCTTCAGTTAAGCACCTATCATGACAGCCAGTTTATTATTATATATCAAATCATGTTAGAAATGAAAGCTTCCAAGCACAAATGTGTGGTATCTTCTGACTTCTCAAAAAAAATCTTTTCATGATAGTTCTCACCCACTCTGTGACTACGCAATGCGACTACAAATTCTAGTTTTCTTTCTTATTAAAAAAAAAAATAGCTTGATCTTCATACTGCATTATTACTCCAAAATTATCTACAGAATAAACAGAAAGAGGTGAAAATGATATATTTCTTTATTCTGAACTTAAATGTAGTGAGTCAGAAATCATGTGATAAAACTTTATCTTCCCTTTTGAAATGTAAACTAATTGAAACATTAAAAGTTGTAATTTTTCTTTTTTGAAAGACCTGTCTACTCAAGCTTTTCTTCTTGATTAACATAATTTTCTTGATATTTTGATATTAGATAATGGCAGCTTTGGCAATAGCTGATAAAAAAAATCATATTGAACTCTATGATTATTGCACTACTCCTGTAGCATGTAATGAATTGTGCTAAAGACTGAAATATCTACCGAACTTATGACATCAGCAGAATCAGCAGGAATGTCTATATTTAAAAGGATATGCATCCATGAACTTAAAAGCAGCTTTGGGCAACTTAAAATAGAGTGAAGGAATCTTTTCACTACAAAACTGGTTTCATTTTACTGGCATGCCATCTAAAATAATTTTTTTCAAAGCTGCCTCATTTCAATCTTTAGGTAACACTTAAAAATATACAGATTAAAAAAAATAAAGATCAGTTAAATAAACTTAATTTTAAAACATAAACAAATCTAAAAGTACAAAACTAAACGTATTCTGACACATTAACAAAAAACATAACGAGGCTTATGCATCTAACCCATGATACTGTAATGATCATACAAATCTGACATGCAAAGAAAAAGTGATATCTAGACCTTAGGCCATCTATCTGTCTTGTATGTCTAAATCAATCTCCTTACTTACCATTTGATATAGTAAGATTTATTCCTCCTTGGAAACTAGCAGTGCTCACCACAGCACCTGGAAAGCTACCACTGGTCCCCACCATAGGCTGTCCTATAAGAGGCTGACCTATGAGGGGCTGGTCCAAAGCCCCCTGCTGGACACCTCCCCCCTGGTTCACTGCAATGAACTGCTGGGCATTAGGAGGATGTTGAACCAATGGGGGAACAGATGGCGGATGTTGCTGTGGCTGCTGCTGTGGCCCCTGCTGCTGTAAAAACTGTTGCTGGTTGTTCATCTTGATGATAGTTCTTCACTGGAAAGAGTCAATCTATACAGAAAAGGTCTCAGGGTAATATCTATAAATTATGCCACTTTTAGACTAAGAGAGCTTCATTTTCCAATTTGGGTCACAAAACAAAATTTCCTAATAAAAAGCAAAATTCAATTTTATTGTATTGCACATTTCCCTTCAAGGTTTATCCAAATACTACACCTTAAAACTAAATGACTTTAAAAAGCATTATGTAAAAACTTGATTTAAGCATACACTTATTCAGAGCAAAAGATTATTTTACAAACAGATGACATATTACATATATTTAACCATTTCAGCATGATCCATAATGCAGTAATGAATTCACATGTTGAAAGAAAGTTCTATTTTTTCAAAAAAGAACAATGGTACATGGGGTCTACTAATTGTAAGAAGAAAATATAAGCTGTTTTTGAGGTATTTATCATATGATTAAGACAGGTTCTTTTCTCTCATGATGTTTAAGTCTGTCATCTAGCAAAGGCTAATAAAAAATTACGCTTAAAGAACATACTTATGAAAGGCTTAGACGGGCACTGACATGGTTTCTTTCCAGTGACAGGCAAACATGAGTAATTCATTCCAAGAAGGATACATGACAAAGTTAATTTTATTTTCATTTCACAGGCGTTTAGATAATGGCCACTGTCCACACCTTATAGTTTCTTTAAATAATTTCCATAAAATGATCAAATGCTTAACATATATTCTTATCTGACTAAAGAAAATACAAAACACTTTTTTAATCTTTATTATTTATAATTTATTTGTTTTTATTCATTTTTATTCATTTAAGCATTTTATCATTATTTTGTCATTGATATTCTATTTAATTATTTTATAGTTATCATTATTTTACTTCTTATTATTAATCATTTTATTTGTTTAATTAATTATTTATTAATTCATTTTGCAAAATTTACCATTAAAGTAACTTAAATTTGTACTTGGCTTACAAAATCTGATAATTCTAACTTGGAATGTACCCCGCTGTGATGTAATTCAGCGACAGGACAAAGCTGAACATGTCTACGGGAAGGGACAGGCACATTCTATATATCAGAGACTGTTTTTATTCTTTACAATGGGCACAACTATTTTGGTCTACTTGCAGAACAAAATGGGTGTAACACAATATGCAATAGTGACCATTCTCAGCAGACAAGGAGAAAGCAGTCTCTTACATTTTGTTGGGTTGGCACCTGCATCTACAACATACTAGTAAAGATGTGCTTGTTCGTATTGAAGGGCAACGTGTATATATTTATTTTTAAAGGAAGCAAACTGAGTAATGTGATACTAAAATTATCAGTATCAAATATCTTCCTTTATGTATAAGAATTTCTCTTTTCTGTTTGTGCATTATTTGTTATATGGCAAATTGTTTTTCCTAGTGCCCTATCTGCTTACTATCCAAAACTCAACAAATATTCATCTGCTGTCTTATATTCCAAATGCTTTATCATATATGACCCACATAGAGACATGATGGTAATGACTAAATCAAACAAAACATGGATGCTGTAACTCGAATAGTAAAATAAGTTAAGCCTTCGCTGAAAGTAACTTACTCCGCCCTTGAGGTGCAATTTTACAGCTGTCAGTTTTTCCTATCATAGCCTCTCCTTTACTTTATATTTCATTTATATATATTATAAACAAAAGAATTCAACTGTTGACAATTAAATCATATGATAAAGTAGCCGATTTGATTATAATTCAAGTCACAAAAATAGGAGGCACATTTCACATAAAATTTTTGATTATGTGAGCAATGTATTTCATTAGTGGACAAAATTACATTCATAAAAAGTCACATATTGATAGATGAAATATTCAACATACAATAACTGATTAGCAGGCAAATAAGCACATGAAGTATATATGAGATTAAATTTATAACATTAAATTAATTTTTTTAATTTTAATAAATATAAAACTCATTTAGTTTGAAAAAGATAATAATAATGATAAATAAGAACTCATTTATAATAACACATCTAAGAACAGTTAAAATTATACTGACAAACAGCAGGAATTGTGATACTTAACATATATGTAGCTTTCAAAAAGATGCATATAATATGGTTTGTGCTTCAAGGACAACCTTAAATTAGGATAAATAAAAACATTACTTGTCACTTCAATTGTTACAAGACAATCAAAAGGCAAAGAATTTGGCTATTTGTACAAGAATTTTTCCTTTCTTTTTCGTCTTCCCCATAGATAACCATCCAACGTCATTCACAATTCAATATTAATAGTTTTGCATACATACACCAGTAAAAAAATCAATACTGCTGCCTCTCACCACTACAGCATTACTGCCTTACAGAAATCAATTAGATTTGATTTCAATTTACAAAGAGTTTTTTCAGCTGCTGCACCTTATATTTTTGTCCTTTAAAACTGATTTTCACCTTAAAATTTAATCAATAATTTGAAACAAAATATCAAAAGTCATCAGTTTCAAAAATGTTTTAGTGACCTTTTATATGTGCTTATTTCAACTTTTATGAAGCCTAAAATGATTGCATGAAAGTTGCAGAGTAACTGATGTATTTAAACCTAACTGTGCTTAAGTCTTAAACAGCTAAAGCTAAAAATAGAAATAACCACATATACAGGCTATCTGCAAGCTAGGTCACATACATATTAAAGATATATTGTGCATGAGCAATACCTGGGCTATTTCAACTTGTGACAAAACAGCCTTATCTTTCAGCACTATTTCCAAAATTGTAACCAAAAAGGAAAAAAACACTCTTAAAAGGTGACAGGATTTGCACTTAAACTGGCAAAACTGAAGATGAATATATAACATTGTAGATTCATAAAAAGAAAAGGAATAAAACTGAAGTACCATTTAGTTTTTTGTTACAGTTCTTTTAAAATGTTTTACTTTAAATGGTATATGCAATTCTGAAGAAAGCATGGAGAAATTTGAAATTTCAATTCCAACATCTGAAGAGTATTTTTCTTTCTAAATGCGTTTTAACCCACGCCAATGATTTTTTATATTAAAATGGCTTTCATTGGAAATCATGATAAAAGAAATTCATGATTCATTTAAAACGATTGACATTCAATTCTTTAATCAATTCCACTTTGTTATTTACACATTTTTCACGGGTACAAAAGCATAACAGAAGTGAAATTACCATCCCACTTTTTGTTTAAAACGACCTATTGCAAAACAGAAATTATTCATTATCATTAACTTTCTCGCAGCATCTGAAAAACGTCGCCTCGTTTTCGCTGGTAACGTTATTGATGGAAACATGATGTGAACGATCGTTTCTCGCGTTTTACTTTGTTCAACAACGGCAAAACAAGAAAACACACACCTAAGCTGCCATAAAACATAATTATCTAATAAACATACCATCTCCTCGGTTTGAAAAGTAAATATCAAAGTCGATTTTTCAGTCTATTACTTGGGGCTGTTCCCGAAAAAGTCATACCCACGAAAAGAGAAGTCGACCAAAAACTACACTTTCAACATCAAATTTTAAGCTACAGATTACTTACATCACTGCTCAACATACACCAAAGTAAAGAACTATGAACAATCTTGTATAACAACATCGATTAAAAGTGTGCAATATTGTTTTGAAATATAAAATCGAAGGAAACAGTAAAAATTTCCTTACCGATTTCACAGATCGAGCGCCATTACAAGCCACGAGACGTTAATTTGCATAAAATTGGTGGGGTATCACTGGAACAGCTCACTTGCTGCTGTTCTATCAAATGCAGCTTTTGTGTCTGGTATATCTACATTGACTTTCGACTTCGTTGTATCAATATTAAAAGCAAACAGTGAACAACATATGTATTTTATAAACACTTTTTATCAAGAGTTTATATGACGTTAAACAAAGACATAACTAACGATATATTAAAGAAATAAAAAACGTAAATAACAAGTGATTTACCCCACAATGCACCGCAATGTTATGACGTGACGTCAGTCTACGATCCGTCTCAGCTGACAGGAAAATACATTCGAAGAAAAAACACATTGCACAGAAATACAGCATTCGTTGTCACCGTGAGTATTCATACAAGCAAATATACTTGTCCTGTATGAGATGCTAGCGTCAGAGCATGTTCTGGAGGCACACATTAGAATATATGCGGTGCACTTTTCTAGTCGATTATGGCGTCGAAGACCATGTTAATTGTGATTGTGAACATAGGTATTATTCAAGTAGCTACTTGCAAGATAACCACGAGATTTTAAGGCATAAAGAAATAGCGTTAACTTACTTTTTAAGTGCTGATAGTGCCCTACTCATATTAGGACAAAGCTTCTATGTACCATTCATGCATCAGCTCCAAAAAAATGACAATTGCTTGCTAGAGATCGAGGGAGATGCCCTCGAACTACTCTCCCCTCCCCTCCGACGAGCGCACACACACACACACACACACACACACACACACACAGTAATTCGTTTTTTATGAATCTTTTTTTAAGTGCTTGAAAAGTAATGCCTCGTTTTTTTTTTCTTTAGAAAGTGTAAAATGGGATGCAATATTTCGTGCAAGTCAGCAACCATAAATATGAAAATTCACCACCGACACATTGTGTAGATCATAAAATTGGCAAACTTTGACTCGTGGAGGTTATGTCAACACTTTATGCTCCATTTGTAACAAATATATATTCGAGTTCCTTTTGTAGCTTTGAAGCTTAGCCTGTTGACTTTCCAGAGCTGTGCTTTACAAATGTACCTAATGCTGCCCTTTTTCTGCAAGCTATATATGACACATGTACAACCTACACCTTACAAACTTACCATACTTTTAAATACAACTTTAGACCTAGTGCTCAAGCCACACTTTAGACTCTTCTTAAAACAGATACACTGTATTTCACCTTATATGTTTCAGAACTTCTTTCACAACTTTTGCCAGCATAACATGTCATTGTAAGGTAGGATTGTTGGGAACTAAATTTTGGTCTTTGGTGTGATTGATATTTGTCTAGAATGTATGCTTGCAGCATGCATGTTTGTTTGATCTGCCAAAGTTAGCATGAAGTGAACAAGTACTTAGTAAAAGGAAAATATGGCAGAATTGACCTGTTTTTGAATTCACATTTTCGATTGTCTTTGCATAGTTGACTTTTCTTTTGCAGCCTTTTGAAGTAGTCTTTGGTCCATATACTGGTTTATAGCCTCTGCTTCATGAGCAGTCAGTGTGGTTTATTCCATAGAAAGGAAATTGTTGTTGTGTCAGTTAATTTTAAGACATAAATGTCTAATTCAGTAATGACAGTCTGACTGAATACATGATCTATTTCGCACTAATAATGGCAATACAAATTAACTAGAACTACATCTTTATATCAGTGCCTAATGAGCTAAGTTAGCTCTGTGGTAGCTTGAGGCACTATACACAAAGAAGGTGAATATAAGTGGAAGGACTTGAACAAGTATGGATACTTATAGGTGCATGGAATAGGTTGTCATCTTGTTTGTCATAGTTTTCAGTAACACCTTTATTTATTTATTTATTTATTTATTTATTTATTTATTTATTATTTTGTATGGCATATAGATCTATATGACTGAGTTTATATATACACCACTTTTTGTTAAGACTTAAAATCTTTGTGATGACTGCTTCAAAAAAAGGGGGGGTTTCTGCAGGTGTCGGGTATAAAGTAAGTCTAACTTGTTTTTAAATCAAGTCTGTTTGCTGTATTGTCGGATAGGTGTATATTAGGTTTTGCATGTTAAATTGCAAAGTTATATATATTATTCTTTATATATATGTATACATATATTTCAGTGGAGAAAAATTTTTTGTCTGCTCTTGTGATCAGTCACAGGGAATCACCATGGGGTTGCCAGGTGGTGGGTGTCCAAGTGAGCTCAATAGTCTTTGAACTGTCATTCCTCGCCTACATTTACTCTTCATCAGTCCCATAGGGGTTTGCAAGTGTAGGGGTTTGAATATAGAGAAAAATGCAGAAAAATAACTGTTCAAATGTTATTTTCTGGAAATATTAAGTGCTTTTTTTTCAAGTTATGCTATTTGAAACTATTTGGTGGCATTTGGTCAGGTTTTATTGCACAAAATTTGGCATTATATGCATCTTTTAAACACTCACAAAATTTCTGCAACCATTGACCATCCCAAAGTAACAGTCTAGTCAATCTTAAATGTGAATCAAGCAAGATAGCATAAAACCAGACTTTTGGCACAGCATGATGTAATGTAAGACTAGAAACAATGTGAGAATCCATGTCAGGTGAGGTTAAATTTTTAGCGATAACGGTGAGATCATGTTCCAGGAATGTCGTCTTTGAAAGCATTACGAATGTGATGAGCAAAACAGGTTCTGTTGTATAATAGACCATGATTTGACAGAACTTTAGAGAAAACCATTGGAAAATATGTGTGCAAATTCTGTCAGCTTTTATTTGTGGCCATGTGTCCGTTATTGATTTCACCTTTAAATGCCCTGAACATCATGTGTGTGTGTGTGTGTGTGTTTAAGTGTATGTGTGTGGTTCTATAAAGTGATGATTTAATTCCTTTTCCATCATTGGTTGGGAAATACCTCTTCATACTGAGAAGAGCTTGCCAAGTCACCTTTACGTCTGTAACAGGTGTTGTTGGGAAAGAGTTATATATACAGTACAGCATTCAAGTCCTTTAAAAGGAAAGTTGGTTATTTGAATGTACATTTTACCAACCAAAGTTTATTTTATTCTACTTGGTGATATGCTACTGCTTCTGTAAACTAGGAGTTTCTTAAAATTCATGTCATATCATATATATGATGTCATATCATATAAAAGTAACATAATTTTTAGATCATTAATGTCACTAATACGGTTTAAAAGGGCTAAATATATGTGAATCCTTGCAGTGCTGTACATAGCTTTGGTCTTATTATTATTATTATTATTATTATTATTATTATTATTATTATTATTATTATTATTATTATTATTATTATTATCATTTATGTAGTGAATATTAGGGCTTGCATAGTCCTTAATATATTTGAACTAATTGCCATTGTTGTACATGTTTCAGTTATGTCAAGTCATACCAATGCTTTTAATGAAGTCCACATACCATATCTCAAAGTTTTTTCACATTGTTGGGTTACTACTAAAAAAATGCTTTGCATGATGTCAACTTCTGATCACATGAGAACAATTTGGTGCAGAAGGGATAATGTTATTGACTTTACTGAAGCTAATAGTAACTGATCTGTAGACATGGGCATTGTTCCCCAATTTCTTGTAAGAGATAAAGTGCTGTAAAACGTTATAGCAGTCAAGTTTCTTTTCTGAAATAAATTCTGTCATTGGTATTGTTTTATCATTAAAAGGATGGCATTGAATTGTGATGGGATAATCGTAACATAATGACTTATTTATGTTTTGAATGTGAGATTTTGTCCTGAAGCAGGATGTTGTTTCTCTTTCTTTAAAAGAAAGGTAGAGATTTCAGATTTTATTGTCTTGATGATCCATTGCTTTTGAATTGGGTAAGCCATATTTAGTAGGCAAGTGGGTCAGCCATATTTATTCGGCAGATTAGTTAGTCCGTGGATCATCTGTTCTGAATGCAGTCTATGGTTGCTTTCCCAGAGATTTAGATCGATCTAAAGATTAAGTTTTAGGTCGACCTAACTCCCTGGGGGTTCAGGCTAAATTGCAGTCAGCCGAGCGGACACCATAGTTAATTACCCCCTTACAGCTTTTAGTAGGCGGGACAGACGCTTAAGCTGGCCAAGCTGACAGTAATCTACTGAGACTCCCCACAGGGATAGATCGATCTAAAACTTTATGGAAATGGGGTGTAATATATCAGACTACTAGTAATCTTTGATGTGCAGTGTTCCTTAAACAAACAGTACTTATTTTGCATACATGATACTGCAGATAACTATTGCTCATCTTGTAATGCTGAAATCTGCATGGAGGATGGCAGAGTTAAACAAACCAAAAAAATCTTGCCCTTCATGGTTTATTGGCTCAGCTAGAAAATGTATATCTTGCAAGTGGAAAAAATATATTCACCAATATTTGAACAAAATTATATCATGTGTGGAGTGTATTAAAAAGACAGTGCTGTTTTGTTGTAGATACTATTCCATCATGGGAGGGGCTGTGAGTGCTGGCGAAAGCAATGACGATTTAATTGACAACCTTATGGAAGCAGATTACATAAAGACTCCACTCATTGAGAAAGTATTCAGGGCTGTGGACAGAGCAGACTATTATTTACCAGAACACAGGAGCAATGCATACAAGGACTTGGGTATTTATGAGATACTTTCCATTTATATTTATGAGATATTTATTAACAATAATGAAGTGATCAATAGATGCTTGATATAGCATGCTGGAGATGAAAGTGATAACATCTTAGATGGACTGATGTCACTGTAGCTTTTTAAAAAAATTAATTTAGTCATGTATGTACTTATGTTGAGTATATGTGTATTTTAGGAAATAATACCAGAATATATTTAGTTTTAAAAAGTTGAGAATTAAGAGTGTGACTCTTATAGTCTCATAGTTTTGGTTTATAATAGTATAATGTATGTTTAGAAGGGTCTGCACATGTTTTCAGGCTCAGGTTAAAAACTTGGTTATTGCAGCAATCTGTTTGATTCAAGGTATCATGTGCATGATGTGTCATCTTTGTTTTGTTTCTTTTAGCATGGAAGCATGGGAATCTCCATCTGTCTGCCCCATGTATCTACTCGGAGGTGATGGAATCTTTAGACTTGCACCCTGGCCAATCTTTCCTCAATCTTGGCAGTGGCACAGGCTACCTTAGTACCATGGCAGGACTTATTTTAGGTAAGTGGGAGAGATTAATTCACATGTTGTTATGTTTCCCTCCCACAGTATCTGTTAAAAGTTACCTTTCCTTGATCTATTTTATTTTGTCCTAAAACTTACTATTTTGTGATTGTGATTATTGCATCTCTTCAGCTAGTGCCAGAGATTGCCCGTTGTATGTAATCCCCTTGTTTGACTTGCATTTGTGTGGCTTAATTCGGTACTTTATTTAGTATTCTTGCATATAAATTTTTCTTTAACCAAATAGAGAAAAATTGTAAAGTTTTAATAAAACTTTGCTTATTTATTTTATGTTATTTTTGTCTTATGGTATAGAATAAAATGAATTTAATATTGATAAAGATGTCATCAGCAAATTGACCTCATTTTCAATTTCAGGTTCTTATGGAGTTAACCATGGTATAGAAATTCATGCAGACGTGGTAGATTATGCAAAACAGAAGATTGAACAGTTTAAAGAGAAGTGCACAAATTTTGATGAGTTTGACTTTTGTGAGCCAGTTTTCACTGTTGGAAATTGCCTTCTCATCAATTCCAGCTGCCCTCTCTATGACAGAGTTTACTGTGGGGCAGCATGTTCTCCAGAGCATGAAACTTATATAAAGAACCTGATTAAGATTGGGGGAACTCTTGTCATGCCTTTCCATGATCAGGTACCCGGGCTAATTTTAGCTTAAATTTTGCTTAAAGCATTTATCTGGAATTGCCACCCAAATTTGTCAAAAGAATAAAAAATCGACAAAATTTTTTGATTGGATTTTTTTGATATGTTAAATTATCCTTAAATTTTTGTGAAAATGTTTGTGGAAGCATGAGGTCAGGGAAGGGTGAATTTCTTTTAATTTTAATGATATCTTATGCTTGGTTCATGAGGATGCAAATCAAAAATATTTGTTAGCTCCTATCCTAGGTCATTGTAAGAATTCTTTTTAATGATAAAGGATTGAGCTATGACTGCATACTGAGAACATAAGGAGCCTTAGGTTAGAGTATTGGATGAGTGTCCAATAGGACACCTTGGCTCTCCTTTGAAGGACCCCTTTTTTAGACAAAGCAAGTCGTGATGGATTTCCATCATTAAGAATTTCAGACTTGAATGTGTTGTTTTATAAGTGGCTAACACTTTTATCTTAATTCAGCTTCTTCAGATAACCAGAGCTGGTGAAAGAAGATGGGAGAGTAGGAGTGTCCTTCCAGTTTCTTTTGCCACTCTCATTCAACCTGAGAGAGAGCAGTATGCAAATATGATTGATATGCGTAAGTGATACTTTCAATGTAGCGTGCAATGCAGCCATTAGATTAATTTGCTAAGTAATGAGATGTTGTTTTAATCTGTTACATTTTACCACAAGTAACTGTATCAACCTTTGCTGTAAGTTTTTTTTCATATGTTGTGTGTATCATCTTTCAGATAGAGATTATGAACAAATTAAATTGTAGTCATTCTTTGTATAATCATTTGTGAGAGTTTTGATTTCTTGGTAATCGTCAATCTTTCTGCTTTCTTCATCTCTTTCTTAAAAGTAGGCATATTTTTTAATTCAGCTGAGGTGAACCCTTTATCTCTTCAAGAAGCATGTCGCTGTGGCATAAGAAGAATACTGCGCTCCAATATCAACATATTACATCCAAACCTAAGCACAAGAAAACGTAGAAAACCAAAATGCCCCAAACGTCCCCGACATCATCGACATGTCAATATTGTTCCAATGAGCATGGGTATGATGATCTTGGGCAGATTTGATGATGATGATGAAAATAATGAGAGCAGTGGGCCAGATGTTTGGCTAAGAAGAGGTGAAAGGTCTTCTGATGAAGAGGTAGTCAGTAATGGAACCACAGATGATGAACAGGAAAGAGAAAATGAAACGGTTGAAAGTGGTGAAGGGGAGTGTGATAATGGTAAAGAATCTAAAGATGATGAAGTGGAAGAGAAATATGATCATAATGAAAAAGGAGATGAGAAGGAAGATGATGCTCAGATTAGTGAAGAAGAAATGGAGGTCGAATTAACTGGGAGAGGTGCGGGGACAAATGGTAAAAAATCCAAACCAAAGTTGATAAAAGCTGTAAACTCCTCAAGAAAAGGGCATACGTCATCATCTTCTTCAAGCTCATCTGAGTCTGGAGTGGAGTTTCCCGAATTAAACCCATCAAGTTTAGAATCTGAGCATCTCTTGTCGCCTAGACCCTTTAGAATGCCATCAGACAGACAGCGAGTAAGTACCAGCAGTGATTACCATTCTGACAGTGAAGCTAAGCTCACCCCAGACAGTGCCAATATAGAGCGTCCAGAGTTCTTCAAGACCATTGAAGAGCAGGATGAAAAAATGGACTATGGTGGCACTGAGAATGACAAATGCACTGAAGACGATAATGAGGATCAAGATAATAACTCGCCAAGAATGACCTATAAGGACTTGATGAAAGAAAGAGTTAATAGCCTTCCTATACCAGAGGCTCTGAAAAAATATGTTATGTATTACAGAGAGTGAATATGGATGTGTGAGGCCAATCATATGGCCAGCGCCAATTTATCACGCTGGAGGGCAACCTCAGGAAGTCCCAACTTTAGGCAGTCAAGCATTTGTCTCAGGACAGTCTGAGAATAGCAGTGACACTGAAGCTGGTGAATAGAAGCAATACATTTGAACCATCTGCTGATTGACATCAAAGCTTTTATTTTTCAAACATGACACTTCCACCAACTCCTCTTTGGTGTTAGTTGCATAGTGGCTTTTTGTGCTTATTTGTCAATATTTATCTCAGTGAATTGCTTTGCGAAAACAAACAGAAATGCATTACAGAGCATTTTGCCACCAAATAAAAAAACAGTAATGTTCGCATGTGGGACAGAGGTTTAAGTACTTATTATCTGATAACCTATTGCTTGCTGACACTGTTAAGTTCTCATTTCTATTTGGATGTCCAGGATGTCCAAAACGGTTGGTTTGTGAAATGAACACCACATTTATAACTGAGAGGAATGTGTGTGAAGTGTCCCTTTTCCCCGTAAAGGGATTTTGTCACTTGGCAGTAAAATAACTGTTAACCATCTCTACATTTTAAGAAGCTCAAAAGGCCATTGTGTCTTATGCTTTGAGGTGACATTTTATCAGCATTACTGTTGCCTTTACTTGGGTGCCAATCCATACAAAACCCTCCAAACGTTGTTAGTCTCATGACTGTGTAAGATGGTTATTGATTTAATATTGACTATTGTATGCTTCGTGAACATGGTGGAAGGGAATGCAGTATAAAAATGTAAACAGGACAAATTTTCTGCTGCTTGATCATGCCCTGATTTGTGACCATATTATTGAAATAAGGCTTTTGTCTTAATGTATATGGAAGTATGTAACATCTGTATTAATCACTTATAATCATTAACACATTAACAAATGTTTATAATAAATTAACCAATCCAAACTGTGCATAGTGGAGACATTGGACTGGCATGATTTTGATCATTTCATCATTTCATTTAAAGAGTTTATTATACAGATCTTTTTTTTTTCTTTTTTTTTTTGAATAGATGCCTGTCATGATTTTTCAGTATAAACTTGGTTTGGATGTAGGCTGGTTAGTAGGCTTTTATGTCTGGAGAAACGTGAAAACTTTTCTTTAGTTTGAACACTGCAGACCATGTAAGTTGCAACCTGTTGTATTATTTTTTGAAAATTTGATTTGAAAAAAAAAAATGTTATGTTAAAACTTAATATTTGTGTTATTATTAAATATCACTTTAAGTATATAAATTTATTATATTGCTTAGTGTTCTATTTACTTTTGGAAAGCTATGCATGTTAATGCATGTTTGGTTTAGTCAATTGTAACAAATTATGCCTTGATATTTGAGAATAAATACAAACGAAAGTTGAAGTTCTGAACTTGTCAGTTTGGGAACATAACTTAAAATTGTCAAGGTAAATGTTGTCCAAGCAATCCAAGATGCTAGGAATGATACAATATACTGGCAAATGCACGAAAACATCGACTCTTGATTCAAAACACACATGCACACAAACACATGTATGAAAAGTGAAAACTTTTAAAATAGTCACATTTATTATATTTCAGACATGGAACAGTCACTGACCAACATTACAATACCAAAATTGCAGAAAATAACTATGATGCCTTTGTCTTGATTAACCACAGACAAACAATTTTCAGAAAAAATCTGCTTAAATTTGGAAAAAGCAATATAATCTACTGTCCTAATAGCCAAACCATGCATGTGATGAACAGAATGTGAATATGGCAAATGATACAAACTACATGAAGACTTTCCATGATGGGAAGATCATATGTCCTAACATACACAAATGTCTAAATCCCTTGTCCTTTGAATTCTATAGTACCAGACTGAAGTTTTAAGAACTTATAAACTGACATACAGGCGGAAAGGGGCAGAAAAATATTTATATTTTAATATAAGCAAGTAGAATATCTAGGAATTCTCCAATTGTTGAAGTAAAAACCAATGCTAAATATTCACAATTTTTCTTGGATCTAGCAAAAAAAAATCTCAATAATGACAAAAACCATATATTATGGTAGTGTCTCCCATCAAGTAGATATTTAATATATTTATCAAAACATCTCTCACATAACATATATGCAAAATGTAATATAAAACACTTACAATTGAGATTTAAGCACCTTTGAAATCAGTGGAAGCAAATATCAACCAGAGACCGACTTACAATTATATTCTACTAGCTGCAATCAATCCTCTCCCTGGCAAAAACTTCATCTAGAACCAACTTTGTAAGGCCTATTTGGGGTTATGTTTAGATTGCTTATGTTAAGATTGCCTGTGTGCTCCATTATCATAAAAGCCAACAAACTGTTCCCAAAATTTAAATGTAAAAACCATTCAATATTTAACATATTTGGTATATTTCCCCCCTAGTAATACACCTTCCTCTTCAATCCTTTCACATAAATTCCTTGAAGATAATATACCTGGGTTTCATAATATTTTGTGCTGCTATAATAAGCATACTGAATAATAACAACAGATGATCTGAATATTTTTGTCTAGGTAAGGCCACAAATGATTTATGCCTCAATGATGACAGACATTTGTTCCTGCAACAAATTTATGCAAAATGTCAGTTTAAAATCTTCTCGTCAAATCTATCCACCTTTCAGTATGTTATATCTACCTTGTATATAATAATGCTTGGATAAGTCCTAGGTAAAAAAAAACAGTGATTTCAATCAGAATTATATTATAATGTCACATATGTTTGAGTTCTTAACTACTGTTATTTAAAATTCTCCTCTCTTTGAACAGTCCATCTCTTCTTGTATTAGACCTTAATTGACAAATAAATAATTGCACAATAAATTAATCAAGTTTTCAGCCCTGATGAAAATTACATCATTTAATCCTATACTTCTAACAATGCAGTTAGTGCTCTAGTATCGCAATATGTGCACCAGTCCAAATTCATTACAAACATTAAAAAGACCCTGAAACAAACATTTACAATCTAACATGAAAACATAATACTAGGCAAGTTTACATAATGTGCATCAATTGAACAACTAATATTACATTATTACAACCGAAATACCAAATTAGTAATTTACAATAAAAGAAAATTGTAAGGATTGTTCATTTGGTGGAAACAGCAATGGTTTGAATACAAAAAGAAAAGATTGCACTGTTTCCCATCCCGGACTTCAGAATTTTAAAAAGCATTACAGAAAAGACAGAGAGAAAAAATGCCTGAGCTGAATCTCTTAAAATCATTAAACTGTTAACAACATGTATCAACATGTTCAAAACATTAAGTTAATTTTTCTGAATGATATATAAGAGAGAAATGTCATTAACAACTTATAAATAGCACAATAACAATCTGTATGAAATCCTCTACAATCCTTTGAGATTCCTTAAGGCAAGCGTAACAGAATTGTAGAGTGGCCTTTGTTCAGATGTGTAATTCTCTAAACATAAACTCCTAATCTGTGTCAGGTAGAGTTCAAAATTCTCTTCACTAATTGGCTTTGACAAATTAGGGAGCCTAATATGTTTCAAGCAATCAATCAGTCCTTTCTTGGTCTTCTCCAAGCGTATTTCCAGCGCTTGTTGTTCCTTTTCCAATTGTTTGTTGTCTTTGATATATTCCTTGTGCTTGTTGTCCAACCCTGCAATTTCTGCTCTCAATTTGATCATTTTATTCTCAACCACAGAGTTTGATTTCTCAATAGCAAGTATCTCTTTCTCAAGCTTTTTTAACTCTTCATCATTTGCCAGATCTGAAAAAAATTTCAAAGTGAGTTTTGTCATATTTGCACAGCTTATCACTGATGTACCATTAAACCAATAACATAAAATATTAATCTCATGTGCTGTAGTCAAAATAATTCAACTTCATTCAATTTTTAAGTGTCAAGGTAATATTTCATGGTAATATTTCAATGGCACTTGTTAACACCAAATTTTGAAGGCAACTAAAATGATTTTTTATCACAAATACTAATTTTTCACTAAAAAACTGGCAAATCTATACATCAAATTACAAACTCATTTTGCCTTTGTCTTAGTGTCTGCACATATAAACCCATCAGCAAACTCTTTAACACATGTAAGTACAAATGCAAGTGCAAATTTACCTTCCCCAGCCTCTGCCTTGCTCTGTATGGTGTTCATCTCTTCCACTGTAAGTTTGGCTTTCTTCATCACTTGCGTGGCTCTAGGACAGCCAGACAGACTGCGGTGAGAGGAGAATGTACCATTGGAATGACCTGAACCATCACATCCTGGGGTTGGACATCTGGAATAACAAAGGAAAGGACTGGACTTGCACTTTCAGTCAGCTTGTCATGATAACATTTTCATCTAACAACAGTTTTCTTGGCTTACAGTTGTATGAAAGATTTCCACCAAGTGCTACGAAAATGCATTGTACTTGTCATTTTGTTATTGATTAGTTGGAAAATAAGAAGCAAGAAATTTGTAATACAGGCTTAAGTATTAGTTTTGATAGAGCGACCATAACAAATAAATCATGACTAATTTACTTATGGCTTTAGCAAAATGGCTTTTTCTTGCATTTTTTAAAAATTGATTTCAATACAAGAATGTTGAAAAAGTTCAACCAAACTGTCCTCCCATTTTTCTTACGCTAGTGTGCAAATCATCATGAAATGGCAATGGAACTCTACTTACATAGGCATATCTATGCGACAAGCTGGGGGTCTATTAAGGATGGTTGATGGTACTCTTTCTTCTGTTTTCACTTCATGTCCATTGAGCTCAGTAATAGGCAACAGGGACCTGACAGGCTTCTGCTGCTTGTTCGCTATTGGGCAACCTGATGCACTGAAACCAACAAGATCTTAAAATTAAGCCATCAATTTAGTACTGTCCTGGCATTCCTTCATCAAAGTGTAGGTTTGACTGTGAAGATTATGTATGCATTTATTGACAGGATCAATTTAATTTCATTTTACCATTGAGTAGGTTTCAGTATAGGTTTTGAAGGATTTTGTAGATATGAAGGTATATTTACTCTCTGTGTATGCAGCCCCAGTAAAATAAAACATTCTTTTGTCTTTTAAAGAAAAAGGACAATATGCAATTATCTTGTTAAGCAAATTGATGAGAAACGTAAAGAGAGAGAAAGAGTCTCTTATATTCTGGATCAGACCTGAATTCAGGTAACTAAACCCTGAAATCAAGATGCAGCAATTTAAAACATCTATTACATATTCTTGGAGATTATCACAACAGGTATAAAAGCAACTGAAATGAAAATTCAACATCCATACAATATTGACACCAACGTCATCAAACATTGAAATACTTGAATGCAACAACATTGAGCAATCCATGATTTAAAAGAAAAGTGTATGGAATAGAGTGACATGTTCAACCCAAGAGGAGCAAGAGGAGAGGGGAAAATGTGAAGACTACAGGTAGAAACACAAGATTAATTGAAGGGATAATCAATTGATAGCATATTCAGACAAATGAAGATGTACCAAAATAGCTGAACTGACTCAAACAAAAAATATTGAAAGTATACATATTATAAGCTGAACAAAAATTTCCCATGCATGCCAAAGCATATAAAAAAGAAAAGCATTTCCCTCTTCCACGTTTACAAATAAAAACACAATGGGGCAGGGAGTCCTACTCATATAAAACATGGTACAAATTGCAAATTTGCAGATGTAAACAACTGAACACATCCACAATGAAAGTCAGAGCGCTACAGTCCGCAGCCAGCATGCGACAACATCCATTTTATTGTTCACAGTTACTACCTTCGATGTGATAAATATTTCCCCGTCACATGACCTGTGCCATCACATCCCGGAACAGGACATCTAGAATGCAAACAATGTTAGTAGCAGCAGCATGTGGCTAATGTGTAAGTCCACTGACCATATCACTTACATGACATATAAAATGAGAAGAATCTTGTTAGCATAGGCATTGGTTAGATAAAAGATTAACATGTATTGCTGTTGTTGTTTGTAGTTTTAGTATAAATGTGGATACGTGTGAATGATGTGTCTGACAAGATTATCAAATTAATGCTGAAAACCCATATACCTTACATAATGAATTTCAAGTCTATTTCGATTTTACCCTTCATTAACCTGCTAACCAACTATCTACCTTTACCAACCAACCATTAGAGCAATCCTTTGAAAAGGCTACAATGCATCATAACTGGCATATGACATACATTCCTGCTAGCACTAAATTTTAATGCTAGCTTTAACCAAGGCAAGTTGAATCAAAACAATGAATCTTTCTTTCATACATATATGCCAAAGTGTTTGTCATTATGAAAATGTTTGCCATTTGCATAAAATCTCTAATGTAGATTTTCTTTATAAAAAAAAAGAATGCATATGTAGCCTTGCACCATCTAAAGCATACCTGTACCACACAATACAGAAATTCTGAAAGATTCCTTGGTACAACACTTGTATCTTTCAGATTTCAAAGAGGAAGATTAAAAAGTATACATCAACATAAAAAACATATATGCAAACACATCCCATGAAATCCACTGTCACAACATCAACTGTATATGTAAGAAAGATAAGTACCTCCTTCAAACATGCTCTACACTTAACTTGTAGGTAAAGCTTGTCATACTAGCAAATATATATATCTGGGCATTATTTACAGCAACCTATATCTAGTATCTTCTGATTAACTTCATAAGAACCTTTATAGTGAATTTTTGTCTAATTTTAGTGCAGTAAATCCTGTAATAAGTTATCTTTAATTTTGATTTTCTTTGTTCCATCTTAATACCTGTTCATTATCAAATATCTGTCCTGATATAAAATGTTCAATCATCCATAGATCTATTTTTCCAAATATAAAAAAAACATGCCACAAGAGGAACAAATTAAAAAAAGTGAAAACATAAAAACTACATCCAAAAGTTGACTAACAATATGCAGTCAACATGGGCCAAAACTGTCCAAGCAGTATCTTTAGTTTCCACGAAAAAATAATAAGCAGAAGACCACATACTAGCAAAATTGAAATAACCATGCTGCCACCTGGTGGGCAAACTAACTGCCCACCTATCTGCCACCTAGAGGACAACAGCAATGTTACCTAAGAGGCTCAGGAGGCTCAAGCTCTTTGCGTAGAGCTTTGTTTTTATGAGCACGAGGACACCCAGATAAGCTGCGATGGGATGCATAATTTCCTGTCACATGGCCAGTGCCATCACATCCCGGGGTAGGACATCTTTAAAGTGAAATTTGGTGATTAACAAATATCAATCATTTGTGCCACATAAGAAGCTCATTTGATTACAAGGATGTTCCACAATTCAAACTTAACAATCAACTGAAGGTGCAAAACTGAATATGCCTTTTAGTGTAAATAATAACAATGCAAAAACCATCTTCAATCAATAGTGGAAAAAAATGACAAAAAAAAAAGAAAAAAAAAGAAGAAGAAAAAAAAAAAAAAACACCCGAATCCACAAAACCCAGTTTATCAACTTACTTCTGTTCAATGTGGTTTGCCTGCACTGTAGCTCTATCAGCCATTGGACACCCAGACAAACTCCTGTGTGAAGCATAATTTCCAGATATGTGTCCAGACCCGTCACACCCTGGCGTAGGGCAGATCAGCAACTCTCTCCCATCACGGCCACGAGGTGATGGATACATGCTGTTCTGTAAGTCATCATTTTGGAATGGACTTCTAAAAAAATAGATATTAAATTAAATTAGATTCTTGTTTATACCCTACTCCTGACACACCAATTTTCTGAGAATCCACAAAAGTAAGCCACAAAAAACTCAATACTTAAGATTAAACACGAACTGCTAATACAAATGTATAGAGAAGTGCCTAAATTATCTCAACCACAGCACAGAGGAAAAATTGGTTATCACTGAAACCAGAGATGCATCTACAAAATAATGTTTAATATTTATTTTATATGTTAGGTCTGTTCTCAATGGTTGAACAAATGAAAAATACATACCCTTCTCTTTCAGATTCTTGGTATTCAGGAGATTCAGGAGGCAATTCTTGAATTTCAGGGCTCTGAGATCTTGAACAAGCATCTTCATCTGTTTTACATTTTATGGAAAAGTCCATAGGCTCCTCTTGGGATACTGTTGCGCAAGGTGTTGTGGGAGATAACTGCTTTTCCTTTTCTTCGAGACTTGCCTTCTTCACACTAAGATCCAATGTATCATTGCTACTATTACTGCTTATGCTCAGGGTTCTTTTGGAGAGATTGAGAGGTGCTGCACCCTGGTGTGCAGAGGGGATAGCTGGAGTATCATATCGATACTGTGGTTTATATCCAGGTCGCTTACTGAGAATGTTTGGCCTGTCTGAGCTGTTTTCTTTGGGTTTTGGAGCTATGGGCTTACATGATACCTTTGCCTGGTAGGTCTGGAAGTCCATGATCGGGTTGGCATATTTTTCCAGTTCTTTAGAAAGGTTGGCCCGTGGAGTGGCTGAAGAAACATAACCTGGATAGCTAATGCTGCCCTCTGGTGGCAAGTCTAGCTGCTTGGTCATGATCATGGGGCGCAACACGCGGTCAGATGCTGAAGAAAGGCCGTGTCAGAACAGCAAATTAGTTTTGATGGCAGCATCATGTATTGACCGTGACGATATATACACACCATTCACACATCCATGCAGCTACGTATGGTGCAATATATTACTGCAAATTAATATTTGCTAACAATGCAAACAAAATGAAAAGAAAAAACTTTAAATAGAAATTCACATTCAACTGATGGCTATTTTGATTTTCTTTGTTATAGTTACTTCATGTACTCATTAACGTCTTAGTGCAAACAGCAAGAGAACATTAAATTATTACTATCTAATTCACAACTAGGCATGTTATGGCTGTAATTCCTACATATAACTTGGCTGTTGTTGAAAATAAAAATCAGACTCATAAAACATAAGACTACAGAAATTCCCAAGAATATTGAATCCTAACTATCAATGCACCCAAACAAAGTACAACGTCATGATAAAGAAATAATCCCACCATTCAATTTAGGAATTTTCACAAATCTACAATTCCTGACAGTTTTCTGTCTAAATTCTTATACTCACAATTAAACAACATATAAAGAAGTATATGAAAAAAAAAGCAATAGAAATCTCAGCCACAACAGTCCCTTAACCAAAGTGTCCAAGAAACCAAAAGTTGGACCTCCAGTAGTAGCAAGCTACACACCACAGTGCGAGGCTGTGACACGCACGAGCTCCTCATCTGTGCATGCGACAAGGACGGCCTTCTTGGGATCGTCATGCTTGGGGAGAAGGACAAGATGTAGGCCTAGTGTGGGCAAGGAGAAAAGAAAACACTGAACCAATTTTAAACACATAATTTATGACTGACAAGGCACAGTGACTTTGTGCTGTTTTTAAGATTACAATACATGTTATAGATATGTCTCAATATATATGAACTGACTACAGCCAATATAATTATGGCATGGTACATTTTGTCGAATGCTTATGACAAAATTTAATACATTCTTTGAATATTTTCCTTTTATACATGAAGTAATTATGGGTTAAACATTTCTAAATCACAATGTTAAGAACATTAACTTAGTTTTACTGCCAATCATGAAGGCTCACACTAAAAAAGTATATCCATGCACTGTTAAAAATCATTGTGCCTGTCAGTCATAAAAAGCAACAGTTAAAGCCATTTTAGAATATAACAACAAGACAACTTTTTGAATACATAATGGACTCTTTAAGCATCTTACTGCTAGCATGACGTTCAAAAAGCCATTATACATGACCAAAAGTTGCACTTAATACCAATATCATGACACACTTTCTTTGAACTAATATGTAAAAGAGGTTAAAAAAAACTTTTTCAAAGTCTTCTATAAATGATGTCTGCTAATTTAAAAAAAAGGCAAGACAACTGTTGTATGTCTTTACGTGCCATCTTATTAGTGTACATGTGTTTGTCTTGTAAGGTTATATATACTCCAAAATGGATACAAAAACATTGACTAATAAAGAACAAAGCATGAATGCTATTTGATAAATAATATAAACAATATCTACATATAAAATAAAACGTATGACAACATTGTGCTTTGTTGAAACAACTGTGAACTATGCCAAAACTTACAACACATTCAAGAAAAAAGGAGTTAATTATTTTAGAAGTAATTTACAAACTATTTCCTAATATATATATGTATACTTCACAGACACAATGACCACGAAAAACCAAGCCCACATATGCATGCTTACCTTTATTCTTATTGGCAGTTGCTGCAACAAGCTTTCCCATGGCAGCAAGAGGACAACCAGATACACTAAAATAAGAGAGGGAATTCAGATAATGTTTATACAATTAATATGATAATATCCAAACAAATGGAATGAAAAGCAATATTTCCTTGTTATGTAATGCAGATAAGTGCCTTAGTGGGCTGCTTATGGCTTACATTCAGCAGAATTAATATACAACAATATTGGATCAGTCCTTACACACTTTCTTTTTTAATTTTCTGCTGTACCTTTTTTTTTTATACTTTTATACCTCTTTTACTATATGATATATATAACACTGACAGCAAGAGTCCCACTCTTTAACAATTAGTATGCACTGAATACCAACCATATAAGCCCATAAAATGTGCAAAATTTTGTTGGAAGAGGGATGAACAAACAAACTGCATAATGTTTAAATACATTTTATGAAAATATTTTAAAATTTGTAAAAAAAAAAAAAAGTGCACAACTACATGATCTTCATACATGCAATATTTCACTGACATTGAAATATAAACAGAAACAAGTAAACTGCATGGTACTGCATAGTTTAAGGATTACAATGATTGAATGGCTCCCACCTTCTGTGTGAAGTTCTGTTGCTGTTTACATGACCACGTCCATTACAGCCAGGAGTAGGGCACCTGTAATTCATATAGACAGATGTAAAATAATTCACAAATATTCATTAAAACCAAAACACATGTGAGCAATAAATTTTGAAAATGAAATTTATGACATATACCACAAGATAGTCAAATTTACAGGTTATGACAAACATTAAACTCACCTCAAAATACTATCATGTGCAGCTAAAACTGAAAGAGAAAAGAATAAATTTTATGACATACCCAAAACACTACTTAAGGCAATTGTAAAAAAGTGATACAAGTGTTGAAAATTAGACAACATACATATATAACTTTAAGATACAACTACTCACTTTCTGGGGGAATCTTTTCCTTTCTTGGACATCCAGACAAGCTGAAACACATATTCAAAGATTATTTCAAATATTATGATACCATGTGCATGTACACACATCACATGCATACCAGTATGCATTGTGAAATTTCAATCCAAAAATACTCCTTTCAAGGATAAGTATGATAAAAAAAAAAAAAACTTGACTCTTCATGTTATTCACTACTATATCCATAGCCTTACCTTCTGTGATGGGAATACAGGCCTGTGAAATGTCCAGTGCCATCACAACCTGGTGTGGGACACTTGCTATCTGGAAACACATTATCATACAACTTTCAACATTAAAAAGCATTTCCTTGGATCTAAAAATCAACAAAGAGTTTTCCTAAGAGATAAAACGGAAAAAATATTTTGTCTTTCACGGATGTCTTAATCTCACAATTATTTTCAAGGCGGCTTATTTGTGATTCCTTATTGGATACTAATTGGCATACAATTATTTGTTCGATCTGCCCACCTTGCCAATTAGACAGCAAATGTAAGTCAACACCACATTACAGCCTATCATTAAAGGGGAATTCAATATCATAAGTTGACACTTAACAATGTAAACCTACCTTTCTTGTCCAAGTCAGAGGAGTTGGCATCCTCAGGGGGAGGAGGTAACATCTTCACTTTGTCGTCAATATTATAACTATGATTTGCATTCTCATCAGCCTCTTGATCTGACATGTCATCTTCATCCATCTTTTCTGTCCAGTCTGTCAACACAGTAAATTCCGCATCCTCAGTAGAGACAATGCTGTCACTTAGCTTATTCTTTGGTTCTTCTTTATCTGTGTCTGTATCCAGCTGTTGTTTTTGTTGTTGTTGTTGCTGCTGCTGCTCATCTATGTGTTTCTCTGCCAGGGTCCTGTTGTTAAGATAATGTATGTTGGGTATGGGGGACCCAGTGGGGTGCACTGCTGGTACTATATCAGGTGCTGTAACTGGGTGGCTGGCATCCTCATCTATTGGTTCCTCTTTCAGTGTTAAACTCACAGCACTCTGGTGCTGGACTTCAGCAACAAGTTTTGGTGGAGGCAGTTCAAGCTGATTGCCATTTTCCTCCGTGGCCATCACTTGACTGTCTTCAGGCTCTTGAGCTGAAGGAAATGGAGTGTCATCACTTCTCTCAGCAAGTGACTGGAGAGTTGCACACTCCTGTTCAATCTTCCACAGAATTTCTGCATCATCTGATGCTACACTAGCCTGAGTCAACAAATCTGGAGGATGAGAAATTTCATTTTTCCTCTTCTCCTCAGCATCCCTTGCTTTGACTGGAGGTGCTTCCATCTTCTTCTGGGCTTCCTCCTCAGCAATCAAAGTTGGCAAATCAATTTTTTCCACATCATCATCATCTGCTAATTCCTTCTTAATTTCCTGATATTTGGGTCCAATATTACCTTTTTGATTCTCTTTTTCAGTATTATCCTTTTTTGATTCACTTTTTTCTTCAGCTACAAAAACCTCACCAAAAGAAGCAAATAAATTTGGAGGCTCATCCCATTCTCCAGATAACTGTCTTAGAGCCCTCTCAGTTTCTCTGAACACTTTCTGTTCTTCATCCTCAGTATCCATTGAGTCTTCATTTTCATTAAAAGTATCAGCTGGAGAGTGTTTAGGAGATTCATCCACCCTGGGCTTCTCTCCATTCAAAAGATGTGTCAAACCGTCTGTTGTGTCTCCGTTAACTTGTGAGTCCTCAGAATCGCTGAAGTCTAGTCTTTTCCCACTGAGGACCAAGTTGTCCTGTTTAAGTTGCTCACCTTTGCTCTTGGGGGATTTCTGCAGCTGGGGCATTCTTTTAGGAGTAACAGGCTTTTTCTTTGATGATCTGGTTTTCCTAGATTTGTCATCTTCCTTGCTACCCTCTTCAAGGTTTGATTGTTCTACATCCTCCTCTGGCTGACTGTCTTTATCAACACCCTTATCTTCTTCCCCTCTGGTTCTTTTGCAAGCAGTTTCAGATGATACAGGCGAGTCAAGCTTGCGTTTCTTTGCAGCCATTGGACATGCTGTGGAACTGCAATAACAAGTCATAAATAACAGTCCATCAATAAAAAATAGCCATCATGTGTACAGCCAAATAACCACATAAATACGTCAAATTAGACAGCCCCTAAATATTTTGTTTGTCACTAAATCCACACACAAACACAAGTAAAAAACAAACTGCAAAACAGATTTACATATATCACCAAACAAGCAAATAATGGAAATGACAAGCCAGCAGCATTAGGCTGTTCAGTTTTAAGCCAGTAATGGTGTTAAAAGCATGCATCTAACCATGTCTTCTGTCTATATTTGTGTTTATCATTGCGGAAATGAGATTAATTTCCAGTGTTATACCTCCTATGCCGTGCATATTTTCCTTTAATATGTCCCTTCCCATCACAGCCTGGAGTTGGACAGCTGAAGAGAACAAAGCCACCACCAAGATCAGAAAAGTGGTGCTGCAACCCAATCTTAGCAAATCTACAGGTGTCTAAGAGAAACTATTTGAGCAGCATAAAAATCAATTCTACTAGCTGTACGTATATGTTTTCTGTATCTGGTCATGTTCATTTTTCTAAAAAATCTTCATTATTTTTAATAGAGTTAGCTATAATATCACAATCAAGCCAATCATGTCAGATGCACTATATTATTGTCCATTACCATAATTAGTAATATTCTTTCTGTGAGAACCAATCAATAAGTTTTAAAATTTCTTTATGCAACAGCCACTGAATAAGCCTAGAGTAACAAAGACCACTGCAAAGATAAAATATTATATATATATAATATATAATATATATATATTATATATTATATATTATATATATAATATATAATATATAGATTTAGTTCTGTCATAAATATGTCAATGTGCTCATGCAGAATTGTATCTACCTGGGTTGCTCTGAGGGTACAGCCTCCATCAGTAATCCTTTAGCTCTTGTTCTCTTCATATCAAGAGACTCCACCTAGAAGAGAAAAAAGTGCAGATTGCGTCAAACACTCAGAACTACACAAACAACACCCACGATGCTGTCAATCTGTATTTCCGTCATGCTACTGGAACACTGAAAGTAATTGCTTCTGATTGACAAAGCACCAAACAAATTCATTACATTACTGTGAATTAGACATTCAGCTTTACAACAAAATAAGTATCCAGGGTCAAGGGTAAACCGGTAACAAACACCAGTGTCAAATACAATTCTTTACAAATTAAAGGAATATATGATCAAGATCATTCTAGTCTGTGACAGTTCTAATAGGTTTTTGCACCAAATGTCTATTTTTTCCAACTTTCAAATGATTCACATATGGTTTCAAGTGTGGCGATCTGGCAAGTGCTTGTTGTTTCTTGAATGAAGAGCTGTCAATTGCTGTGCAGTGCAAAACAAGCACCAAAGAACCACTGCTTAAGGGGAAAACACTTGAGGGAAGAAAGTAATGTTTCTGATTGAAAAAGAATTTACTTCATGAACCACGGACTGCTATTAATACATATTCTATAAAACCATGCATTATTTTCATTAAGCGTTGAGTTATGCATTTCTTTTTAAATAAAAGGTAACTTAAAGACCAAATTAGTGCTTTTTGTTGACACAACACCAAAATGTTAAAATAATGTGCATTAAAAAGAAAATTGCAGTATCTTTGCATTCTAATAAAATACCCTTGTCTTATAAATACCAAGACTAGGATCATTTAAGAAAGAAAAGACACAAACTTTTTAATGAAAAATCAGGTGACAATATCAAAATTCTAAATATAATTATGTATTAAGTTTCCACAACAAAATCAAAAATTTTTTTTCACAAAAACTTGTCTGTATTTTAAAGAATAAAATTGGGAGTTCTGCAAAATAGCATCCAAAGGGTTTGATTTCTAAAACAGTGGGATAAGGGCAAAACTTAAACACCTGCAACCTGCCACCACAAAAACAACTGCTCATGCTCAACTATTAAATCATTTATAACTAACCATCTGTGACCTACAAAGTTCAGGAACATCACAATACCAATATGTGCATATGCAATTAAAAAACTAGCCAACAAAACAAACAGCTTCTCTTTTTCTTTCCACAAAGAAGTGATAATTTAACCTAATCAAATTTAAATTTGTGTAAATTTTGCTTCACTGAATTTAAAGTGTGAAAGTAAGACTTTTTCAGTCCAACCACCGGTATGTAGACATTTGATACATATAAAAAGCAACAAAATCATTATTTCCACATTGGTCTTAACTTTCATTATCACCCTCAGAAACCAAGTGATTATCTTACCTTTGTAGAACTTGTACTGGTGGGCATCTCAGGTGTGTCTGTAGCAAGAAAACAGAACAAAGACATTAATCAGGCGAATGAATACCAGCAACACATGCACAAGGTGCTATTATCTCAAAGGCAAATCTTGCTTTATATCAAACAAGTTTTTCTTGGAAACCTTTATTAATCTTGGGCATAACTTGTACAAAAAGAAAACACTATTAAATATCTATGAACAAAGGAAATACTCTGGGTAATGATAAAATACTGTATCAAGTTATGTGGCTTAATCAAAAGTGTAATATTAGCATGCACATATCATGTTTAAGTTATGGAAATCAGATTGTTCTATTTAATATAAAGTATGTTTGACCTACATGAGTCTGGTACTGGTAATAATAATGAAAGGTAATGTGTAAAAGTGACAAATATTACTTCATGCAAAACAGCTTTTGTTCCATCATGATTTTTGCACCTGTAGTCTATGTTTACACATATCCTTGCCAATCAATATTATTACAAGAAACATGGTCACTAAGATGAAATTTTCATTTAAAATATTCTGATATATCACCATGTACAAAAACATGGTCTTGAACATGCAATACAAACCCCAAGAAGTGTATCTTGATCTTCATCATAATTTATCACAAACAACAGCCCAAGTGAGATTTGATATATTCCAAGTTATCATTTGTCTCCTTTTCTCTCCTCACTGTCAGCTCTACTTACAAATACACAGACTTCCGAAGTCATTTCCTTCTCTTCATGGGAGTTAACTTATCAGTTTTAGTCTATGAAAGAACTTTCCACATAAAAAATCCTCCTCAACAGGCAAGAAATATGGCCAGCATATTATTGAATCCAAACCTCTCTGAGTAATAATAAAATTACATTGGTGACTTCTGCTAAAATGTGTTTTTCTCCACTGCTATTATACTAATACTTTCTATGAAAACTCATTATGCCAAAGAAAGCTTTATATCATCAGTTTGTTCTGTCACTTGTAATTATCTCTCCCACCATACAGCGCAGCAGTGACTGCAAAACTTAGTGTTATTAGCCCTACTCTACCATACTATTGATTTTTACAAACTTTCTGCATGTACAATGGCATACAGGCAAACCATGATGACTCCATCCTCAAAAACCACCAGCAATGCAGGCTTTGTGCAGACATATGTTTGCAGTTCAATGGTGCATCTTACACACCAGCATTAAGCTTTGATTCCGTGATTCAAGGTAGCCTCTTTGTCTAACTTTAACAACAGTAAAGCCTTACCTCACAGATACATTCCTGTTGTATTACAAATATAAATAATAAAGTCAAATTCAATGCCAGTTTTCACGGTTCCACGGGAGAGGATTCAATACTAAACTAGAGGATCAGAGAGGCGATACCGCCTCCGAATATTGTACCACCAGCTGGAGCAAGCGCATTCGTATAGACCCCCACATACACAAAATAAGGGACACAGTCACCAGTCTTGTGCTTGACAAGCTGTAAACAAGCAATCAACAAGAATTTTCAATATATGCAAAAAATATATGAAACTAAAAATGGTACAATCAAATTTAAGTTCATCGTAAGGTAGGTGAAAGGTCATTTTCAAGGTCACAGTAAATTGCCAGTATATGACTTCCTATTCAAGTTCAATAGTAACTATGGACCTATCTCTGCCANACCGTCTAGGAGGAGAAGCGGTAACGGTGACTTGGCGGCGGAGCCGCAGGAGCCGCAGGAGCCGGCGGAACATACGGGTCGGGACTAAAACCATGGGTACCGCCAGCGCCTACGCTGGTGGTACAAATACACATCCATAAACAACTTTACCTGTAAACCTGCTGTGCAGTACTTCCTTTACCTATACAAATCAATCTCAAGAATTCAAGGTATTCAAAACTTTCTATTTAAGTCAGTCCCTTCATAACCAAACACTTGTACATCTCCTTTAAAAACTACTGGTATCCCAATATATGCTTAAATTCAGAGTACCACAGTTCACAGAGATTCATATGAAAATTATTATCACTAACAATGGTATCCAAGTAGTTTTATATCTTGTTAGCTGCCAGTGAAACCTCTATCACAGCTCCTGCATTTAAAATGATTTGGTTCTACTTCTTCTGCCTTTCTGCCAACTTCACAGCTGTCAATCTGACAATACATGGATAACTTAATAAGCACTCTGAGCTTAGAGACAGGAGTAAAACTTTGACAGACCCTATTGATTTTGGGATGCTTGCATACAAATACTGGACAACTAGTCCATGTTAACACTGATATAAAATTGTGAAAACAAAAATGCTGTTCACACAGACTGGTTTCAGATCAAAATTTTAGTTGTCTATACAAGTTTTGACATTAATCTAAATACAGTAATCAATGTACTAGTATATGGCACCAAAAATATATCAACAAAAAAAAACCTTTGTGCTACCATCCAAACCAAAGTATGACTCTACTCAAGCTCTAAACATACTTGCATGCCATATATGCATGCTGGCATATTAAGTCAAGGGAGCTTTTTACACATTAACAGTTCATGGAATATGAGACCTTTGTTAGGTACGACTGTAAGTGTTGGCAACAACTTCCAGGTCTGAGGAAGTTTTATAGGATTCTACATGATTTTGATGTGTTAATTGATGATATATCACCCTATGCTCCTATAGCAGCACATTAACAACTTTGTTGAGTGAGAGCTGATGGTTATTGCAATACACCAGAAACATGTGCAATGACAGTTTTATTCAAAGGTTTCTAAATATGTGCTAGTCCATTTTAACATTTCCAAATATGTACTATATTTTTACCATTCCTACCATTTGTATCGCCACTTAATGAAAAATCTGTAGCTATTTATAGACAATTACTCACAAAAAAACTTAGTTTCGCTTTGATGGAATTGCCATTAGTACCACTATTAAAATATCTATACTAGACTTAAAACTACACAGTATACCTTTGAATCAAATACATTTCCAGGAAAATAAAATAGTTTATGAGGAGGTACCAGCACTTCATTAAAAGCCACTTTGGTAACAAAGGTATCAGAACCCACATCTCTATCCTCCACACCAAGGATAACATACAGCACCGATACACACCTAACAAGTTTAGCCATTTCATAAAATGACATTATCAAATTTGGCGATCACTAGGTATAAGCCACTGCCAGTAAGATAAGACCTCAAACTATTCAAAACTTTTTTCAGCTCTTGTCTCCATGGGACTTGCCATTTTTCACTCTTCCTCCATTAATCATTTCCGACCTCTGATCAATACAAGCAAAGATTCACTGTGCACTGGGTTTATTCATGATATTTGTGCTCCCACTATGATAAGTTGTGCCAGCACCAAACATAACAAAAACTTCACAATGCAAAAACAAAATATATATTTTGTTTCCACTAGTCAATAAGAGTCGCATCTTTTTTTTTTCATCCACACTGTTATCACATTGCTTGCATCCCAAAGTGTAAACTGTGCATACCAGGTACTAGTTCCTGTATGTTCATAGTCATTTTTTTCTTTACCTTGCCTTTTGGTAGTTTTACAGTTATGCAATCTTTCCTACCGAGTAAATGCTGTTAACATCATTCCTCAGTTAAAAGTTTTGGATGTGTGTTACAGTCTCCTCAGGAAGTCGACAGGGAAGTTTGCCTGCTCTTTCCTTTCATTCTAAATTGATGCCACAAAGTCTTCTCTTCCCACTTTGGGGATCAGTTTGTTCATTGAACACCTTCATTCTCCTGGGTATCATTTCAGCGTATATCTTTGCAATAATGGAGACCTCCTTGACAAGAGAATTTCATAGTTAGGTTTTAACCCTTCGGTGGCTTTACAAAAAGAGCTAATGTTTTGGTTTTATTGGGGGTGCTTATTTACAGGGGTACAATTCTCCATTTCTATTTTTCTCTTTTTAGCTTCCCTTTTTTCTGTCCCTTCTACCTTTCTCCTTCAAATTAGATCCACTCTCATCTTTAACCAAATGTCTTTTTGTTATCTTTCTTTTTCACATCACTGTGCTTCTTTGAAATATGTTTAAGTCTTTCGCTACAATTTCTTAGTCTAACAGCAATTTTAGAGAGTATATGATAACAGCTCAACATTACTTACAATAATGTTGATGCAAAAACTTTGTTAGCTTCATTACCTAAGGCAAAAACTAATAAAAGTAGCCAACCTTGTGATCAAGGTTTTATTCACTCTGATCTCAGACTATCAAAGAGTTACCTGAATGACTGTAAATTTCAGATAATGTTGTAGCTCAACTCTATAACCAGAGACTTATTTTAAAGGCAACTATGAAGTAGTCTGATCAAAGAAGTTGCTTGGATTGATCATTATGGGATTGCAATTATCAAACTATTCTATCCTTTGATAGGTTTCTTCTGTATTGACAATTTTTAAATGGAATTATGACATTAAGAACAATTCTTACCAGACCAAATATATTTAATAAATTGTCTTAATCATAATTATTTCAAAATCATCCATTCAAATTTAAAATGGCAATTACAGATTTTATATTTTTTAATATCTTGAAAGACGGCACAGATGCTACTGCTCATCTATCCTACTTGTGTTGTACCAAATTCCTAAGTTGTTCTTCTGAAATACTTAGTTTCCTTTCAAAATGGTGTCTTATCAAAATTTATTTTACAGTTTGTTAAGTACGTTTTCTAAGCTTTTGTACTCTTGAAAACTTAAAAAAATGGGTATCAAAATAAATTCAGAAGGACAAAATGATAGCAATTTAGCAACAATTTCCACATAAAACACATTCAATCAAATGCTATTGGTTAATGCTAGGAATAACTTATCCATAATGTCCTTAGTGCTATTACTGAAAATTACCACAATGTTAAAAAATATGTCAAAAATTAAAATGAGCTCTCAACTTTCCCATAACGATGCCAATAAAACTTAAAAATCATCATGAATTCTGATACTTTGTGGCATTTTCTTTCAGAAAAAGTGGGTTTTGTAAATAGGAATCTTTTCTGAAATTTGAAGGTTTGGGGAGCAAATCCTGGAGAATGACCCTTATCATCACACTTCACTAAATTTGCCCAAACAATAAAAACTTTATATATATAAATGCAGGTGGCAGTATTGTAAGAAATGCTGTCAAATTTGGGTTGCCATCATCAATGACAAGTTCCCTTCAATATTTGTAGCACATTAAGGATGACCCAGATGATCATAATGCTATACCATTCAAATTACCAGCTATTAAACATTTCCGAATGCAACATTCAAAACAGAGCCATAAATAATCCACTATCTGCATAACAAAAATATTTAAGAAAACTTCTTTTTTCATATCTTTGGGCAGTGATTTAATGATATGTGGTTCTAGACAAATGTATGAAACTCCTCAGAGATATCATCAAGTTATTTTTGGTTTCTACCCACCTTTCTTTCTTGGCATCTTTGCTTTCTCCAGTTTGGACAGTTCTACAGAAGGCTGCATCAAGTTGGCAGAAAGACCAGTAGTGCACCTTCTGGTTATTGCACGAGTTGGAGGATCAGAAACCTGCATAACACATAAAGAATGAAATCTTATACATCAGCCAGGGTCAATATGATCAAGACACATTGATGTATATTTGGAATTTAATGTCCAGGAAGAGACTAATCATTATCTACTCATATTTTGATATCTGAATGGAAGATATATATATATATAACACAATGAAAGTGACTTTCCTCTGAAATTAATTAAAACAGTAATTCCTCATTTATATATACTTTCTTTTTACACATTTAAAAGAATCAGGCAGATCTGAAAAATAGAAAAAGAGCTTGATACTTTTAATAAATTTTAATCTCACTTAAATATTGTCATATTGCTTTTGTTGTTTATCTTATCTTCTAATGCCAATACAACTATGAATAAAATGATACATTCTGTTAGACATTTACAAAATCTGTAATTTACAATAGTTCAATAAACACTTTTTATCTCTGAAAAAAGTACCTTGCCTCCCTTAATAACAACAACAAAAAATCCTATTCAAATGAAATCCCCATAGAACAACAGTAAGAGCATCACCTGCCAAGTAATCATGAAAACCCATGCATAAACATGAGAGTCAGCTCAGCAGGTAATAGTCTTAAAGCATCGCATAATCACCTTGGACAACACAAGATCAAAAAACAAAAAACAGCTATTCTCTGTTAACTGTCACATGCCAAAAGCCAAAAAAAAGTTTATGAAAACTCTGCTTATACTGGTCA